AAATGAATGAATGAATGAATGAATAAATAAATAAATCTTTAAAAAATAAAAATAAAAAATAAATCGCTTTGGCCATGGTGTTTTGTCATGGCAATAGAAAAATAACTAAGACATCTACTTATCTCTTTACTACAGTGCCAACTGAAATTCTTGGCAAGTGTCAGTTAATGGTTGTTTAAACAAGTTCCTGGAAGCTACAGACCCTCCAGCCCTTAAACTGCATGCAGTGGCTGCCTCTTTTCTGACTGCACTGAACTCCCTTGAGTATGCCTTCTAGTTGCCAGGTGTCAGGTGGATGGAGTGATGATTGTGCACATGAAGAAGTTTAAGCCTTGAAGTATTTACCCTTTTTTCCCAATTTGATTCTGAAACCTCCCATTTAACCCTTGACACAGCAGGTCTAAGCTGTTGGCACCCCCTGAGACTGGGTAGCTGTCAAAGGGTTAAGCAGTCTTTTGTGGTATGCAGACTTTTTCAAAATTCCATTCTGACTGCTTCTTGGAGGCTTTCGCCCTCACTGCTCTCCAGGAGACACTGAAATGGGCTGTAGCTGCCGGTGTCTTGGGTGTGAGCAAAGACAGCCTGATCCTATTAGTCCTAATTTTAAAGATCTGCGGTCAAGCAAGACAAACAAAATTAAAACATTCAAAACAGATTGTATTTAACAAGTTTCCATGGGAGGGTTAACATTTGGCTGTTAGAAATCAGTAATGAATATATGAATATATATGCTTTTGTTTATATATATTGCTTTTGTTTATATATATTGTTCTTGTTTTTACATTTATTTAGTTCGTGCACGTGCAGGCATGTGCACATATATGTGGAAGTCAGAGGACAACTTTTGGAGTTGCAGGGTCTGAACTCATGGTCTCAAGCTTGGTGGCAAGCACATCTCCTTACTGAGCCACCTCACTGGCTCTGGAGAAACTGTGTTTGTTTCTTTTAATTCTCTCAAAATTTACTTTCAGTCTGTCATTAGTTTCCTTAAAACTCCAGCTTCTTTAGCATCTTAGTTCAACAGTTTTTATAAGAAAACTCCAGATAAAACCTTTTCTACTGATCGTTGTTACATTATCTTTTCATCTTTCACTCATTTGTGTATTTATTTTGGCAATGCTGGGGGGTTTTAACTCAAGGTGCCTTGCACACGCTAAGAAAGTACTTTACTGCTGAGCTACATGCCAGCCTGCACACGATCCTCCTTTTGACAAAAAGAAAACACAAGGGTGTTTTTAGTTTCCTGTCAATGCTAAGGCCGATCTATTTCAAACAGTTGGGAGACATAATCACAAACATGCAAACACCAACACATATTTAAACATCTACAGCGATAGACATTCCCTTGGCTTAGAGATTTCTCAGCCAAATATATGTTGGTGATTTTAAAGCTGCAGCCAGTTCCCTAAGTTCCCTGTGGTTTGAAGTTGGGCGAGGTAGTTCTCCAAACCAGTTATAACTAAGCAGTTTTACGACTTAGTTCTTGGACTGAAGAATGAATAAACAGTCAAAGGTTGTTCTAAGTGGCATTTATCTAAATCAACGAAGTGAGAAAGGTGACATGAAAAAAGGGATAGACTTGTGAGCACATATGCCACCTGTCTTGTGCCAGCTTCTGATTTTTCTTGGCAGCATGCTGAGGCTTGGTGCCAGACCCTACTCAACCACCCAGAAGTAATGCATCAAGCCCAAAACTTGGACAAAGCTTTTGTTAAGCATGCATAGTGTTCCTGCTTGAGAAGTCTTTTATGAAAAGAAAAAAATCTTTTATTCCTTTTTAATTTTTTATTGTGTGTGTGGGATTTGGAACTCATGTCAGTACGTTGCACACGTCTTTACCTGATGAGCATCTTACTGGCCTCTGAATCTTATTTATGTGTATGTGTATGTCTGTGTGAGTGTATGCCATGTGTGTGGATGCCTACAGAGCCCTAAAGAGGGAGTCAGATCCTGGTGCTGGGAACCAAAGTTAGGTCCTCTGAAAGAGCTCTTAACTGCTGAGCCATCTCCCCAGGCCCTTCAATTTCCTTTTAAATGCAAGAACATTAAAATCAATCCTTTGATTTTTGTTTTGTTTTTCCAGACAGTTTCTCTGTGTAAAAGCCCTGGCTGTCTGTCCTGGAACTCACTTTGTAGATCAGGCTGGCCTTGAACTCACAGAGATCCTCCTGCCTCTGCCGGAATTAAAGGTGTGTGCACCACAAATGTTTGCAATTGTTTGCTTTTGACACAACCCTAATAAAGAAACTTGGACTCCAAGTCTAAAAGAGACATAAAATACTAATGGTAGGTGTTTCATCACTTAGCAACTCACCGGCAAAGGGGAGACTCAGTTTTGTTTTTCTGCCTTTTTAAGTCTTGTCAAGCAGGCTTGATTATATGCAATTTATTATTTTGGTTTTGGTTTTGTGACAGTATATCACAATGCAGCCCAGGCCGTTCTCTTGCATCTGCCTCCCAAGGGCTGGGATTACAGGCCTTTACCACCATGCCCAGCCCGACACAAGTTTTTACCAGTGTTTAAGTGACTGTTGATTTTATGATTAGAAACCAGTATTGACCAAAGTGTCAAAGCATAACTGAGACTCCCAGATATAGATTCTTATGTAAGGCTCCTATTTTAGTGCCAGTGAGAGTCAGAATTAGCACGCAGTCTTTTGACAAACCAGGTCACTTAAAGCATTACAACATAGGTCCAAATTTGCCATGTTCCAGGGACTGTACCCAACGCTCTGCATAAATTTTATTTCCTCAGAAACTTAGAGGTAGATACTATTACTATGCCTACTTTACAGATCCAGAAGTTGAAAGTTAGATGATTGAAGTAGCTTATCCAAGGACATACATGTTGTGAGTAAGCCACACTAAAACATACTCAATTGGTTTCAGTTACATTACGCTACTTGTTTCCTCTAGAGCAGTGGTTCTCAACCTACGCCTTCACCCCTTTCGCAGGGGTCACCTAAGACCACTGGAAAATACAGATATTTATAATTCATAACAGTAACAAAATTATAGTTACGAAGTAGCAATGAAAATAATTTTAAGGTTGGGGGTCAGCACACCATGAGGAACTGTATTAAAGGTTCCAACATTAGGAAGGCTGAGAACCACTGCTCCAGATGTTTGCCCTCTAGGATGGAAGTGAGTTCTACCACCCACCAGTGAGACTGGGAGAGGATTCCAAGCACCATGTGAAACACAGTCCCAGATCCTTTAACTGTACCCTGATGGCATACAGCCTGAACAGAAAAATCAAACCACGGTATGCCTAGATTTAGACCGACAGCAACTGTTATTGCATTTGGTCTCCTCAGAGTTATCTCTTTCAACTCAAAGCTGAGTCTGTGCTCATCTTAACTAAGTTGGAATATTGATCTGCCTAGCCTCAGCACTCCTAGTTCTTAGGCTAGACCTATATACAACTACATAGTTCTTAAAAACAGTCTTGAGGGGGAGGGGGAGACATCAACCAGGCAGAATGAGCTGCTGTGGAATATATCTGTATATTGTGAAAGTACAGACACATATGATTTCACCCAAGCATATCAGTGGTTACCACCCAGAGTGGAGGCTGGAATAAGGGAATGGCAAGATGGAGACAGTTCTCGGGTATCAGAAGTATTCTGTTTCTTATATGGGCACTGAATACATGAGTGTTTACAATAATTCTTTAAACGATGCACATTTTGTTGTTTGTTTTGTTTTTGCCAAGTGCTTTGATATATATTTAAACTAAAAATGTTTTTTACAAAGAAAAGACAGCAAATGGAAGTCTATAATGGTAAAGGGGTATCCTATCTGCAATTTACTTTCAAATGGCTCATGAGGAATCATTATTTCATGAGAAACGGGGAAAAAAAACAGAAAAGAAGGGGGAAAAAAGACACACTCCATGTAGCATATTTTCATTTCCTTTTATTGAAGGAAATAGAAACTTGTGCTGCTGAGGCAATAGTACCTCTGAGCATGACAAAGTAGTCAGTGGGGCTGACATGACAAGCCACAATGCTGGCCAAGCATCCTACCACAGTGGGAGAACCAAAACCACAAAGAAAGCAGGAGGTAGCAAATATCCCCAACACCCAGAGAAAGCATGTCCATTTGCAGAGAGCTTGGTCATGCATTTAAAAAGAGGGTCCCTTATCACTAGTAGCACATCATCTCAGGTTTGGAGACCTCTTCTTTTGACTGAAATAGTTAAGCTACCGGAAGATCTGAGTTCATCTTTCAGCTCCTTATCCCAGGTAGAAACAGAGGCTGAGATCTTGAAATATCACATGGTATAGCTGGACAGGTGCTGAAGCCCAGCCACGTGCTAAAAGTAGCTACTTGCCCTCTCACTTCTCACACTGCTCTTCCTCAGCATGTGCTCTAGGAAATCTCTCAATGCTATAAATAAGATTTATAACAGAATGCAGGCAGCAGCCTAGGGGATGCAGGGAATCAAAAGCTGCTACATAGCTAAGACCATTTCACTAGAAATAGCACAGGGAACACTACTGGATCATGGTTCTCCCAAACAGCTGCTAGAAGCACACACAGAGAAAAACATGGCAGTTCTCCCATGTCAGGATCAGCTGCACCAAGGTCTGGTTCAGGAAACAGAGCCACTTCATGTCCCTGGCAGATTATCAGGCCCCATGGCATTCCAAAGCTGTTATGGTTTTCAGATACAATGAGGTGTTTGGGCAATTTGGTCACAGAAAGAAAGCACTAAAGAAATTTCAACTGATTGCAAATTGATAATGCTATCAAACCATAAATTTATGTAGTCAAGAACTGCTTGTGAGGGGTAAGGAAGGGGATGGTTGAGATCTCTGTTTCGTAGAAACAGGTTTATTCAGGTAACCCTTGCTCGTAAGTCACCTCCCCATGCCCACGAACTGGAAGGGGTTCCTATTTAGAAACGGCCAGTGCTGGATAGGTCATCCAGTCAGCAGTTCTCGTCAGTGCTTGACACATGGTTTCCAAGGATCGAAGTCTTGAGAGCACTAGATCAGGAAATGGGAGAAGCAAAGCCAGGAGAGGAGGACATGAGGGGCGGGAGTTCCCGAAACAAGAGTTTCTTTCCTAGAAGGCTTGGCACGATGATGCTGGGGTGAGTGTGGTTTCAGTGACTGTTCTTGGTTGCCTCCTTTGCTGCCGCAATCAGTGGAGTGAGACTGGAGAGGGGCTTGGCAATCTTCAGGAATTGATGCTGGAAGGAGAAAAAGCAAAAAGAATACCATTATTTACCATTCTTACTTAGCCACCATTTTAAGACAATAAAGGCATCATGTCAGATTATCCTCAAACTGAAGGAAAAAATATACTTTTTGTATATTTTTTGTGTGTGTGGGGTGTGTGTGTGTCACAAGACAACTTACCAGATCAGTTCTCTTCACTCTTACAGTACAGGGTAAATGACCTCAGGCTGTCAGACCTGGCAGCAGGTACTCATACCCAGGTACTCATACCACACTAAGTACACAAGTTTTACTTACAATAGTCAATACTTAGAAAAAATCCAAAGGAAGAGTTAATAGTTTCATGTTCACATGACACTATACAGAATAGTAACACAGTAACTGATACACTAGAAGCAGGATGAATCCATAGACCCTTTTTTTTTTTTGGAGGTAGGGTTTCTCTGTGTAACAGCTCTGGCTGTCCTGGAATGCGCTCTATAGACCACATTGGCCTCAAACTCAGAGATCTGCCTCCCTCTGCTAGCATTAAAGGTGTAAACCTCTGCGCCCAGCTCTTATCCATAGAGATTCTGAGTGAGAGAAGGAAGGCAAAGTGAGTTCATTTTGCATGATTTTGTTTTTTCCTAGGTAAAATTAAACTATTGGTAACTACTATTTCTGGAGAAGACACTGAAGTTTGGTTTTAAAACTACAGCCTCAGCCTATTAGCCAGGACTATAAGTATACACCATACCTAGGTGAGAATCTCTTGTTAAATCCTTGACTCCAGCAAGGCTAAGTGTTCCAAGAAGGATTTCAGTAGTCTGGTCCTTTCCAAAATTACTTTTACTAAAATAGACTTTGAGCCATACTTTCAACTAAAAAAATACCAAAAAAATGCTAAATAAATCATTTAAGAGAAAATACCATGTGAAAGAAAATGTTATGGAAAACAATTCTGTATGTAACACAGAGTCTCTTACCTAAAATGGCGGGTTGTTTCTGTTTTTTGTTTTGTTTTTTACAATTGTCTTGAGGATATAGACTGTTTCTTCCATTTGATAATAAATATCAGAGCTACATTTCTTTTTCTGAGCAAATGTGATATTTATAATTATCTAACATATCTGGTTCTTCTACCATGCTTATAATAACTTTAATTAGTATTATTATATATGTGTACAGACACATACATAGAGGCATATATATATATATATTTTTTTTTTCTTGGCTGAAAGTTGATTCAACTCTTATTGGGACAAATACAGGATATACAGAGGAACTGAGAACTATGAATGATCTTGGCTAAAGCTTGAAGCTATGAATCCCATATTGGGATTCTACATTTCTGTCTCATCCTATATATTTCTGTCCATATGTGTATTCTCACAGGAGAAACAGGTGTGAAACTTGGTGATTTAAGATTCTGAAAAGTCTAGGTTTTGAATATTTACCAGATAACAATGACAAGTTAAAGAGTTGGGGTTGAGGGCCTATTTTTCTGACTCTTCTGCAGTAAGGAAGCAGTATCATCCAATATCCAACTAAGAAGCCTCCATTTAATTCTCTCAACAAAGTAAACTAAGTAAGCCCTATAAACCTTCCAGCTCTGACATGTTTTGAATCTATAGAAGCAGTGATCAAGAGCATGTACACTTGGGAGGCAAACAGACATGCTGAAACCCTACATCCTCTATTTGTCTACTGTATAATCATACTAGTATATTTCCTCACCTGCAAAAATGGTAATAACCAATCCTGTAATTCACAGGGTTGCTGTGAAAAACAGGTATGTCTTACTGCTGAGTACAGAGAGAATGGGACAGTCACTATAATGCACTTATTATTTAGTAACACTGCTGTATCAGGAAGAAAACTCCAAAGGGCACTTTTAATAGCTACACTTTGGTACCTAATTAAGAATGTTTTCAATAACAACAGACTTAGCACAGTACTGGTACATTTCCCAATGCCTATGGTTTCCAGCACACAAATCACATGAAAGGCAAAAAGGATTCTACATTGTACCTGTGTTTAAGGAGCCTTTTCATCCCAAAGGATCCTACAAATAATGGCTTATACTTGGCAGAACCCAGATCCCATACCTAATAGAGCAGTGCTCTGAACAGTAGCCTCAATTACAAACAGATGTTAAAAATGTAGGTAGGTAAACATCTCTATTCAACTCTATAAATATTTTCTGAGCACTAATTCTCAGTCAGATGCCCATATAAGAAGAAATCCAGAGAGTAATAAAAGAGTTTACAGTAGAGTGGTCAAGACAGAGAGGTCCATACGTAACTAATACAGGGCAGTGTGCTAAGGTCCCGTTTTGTCTATTCTGCTCAGTGATTCTCTGGCCTAGTAACACACAGTAACTGATTAATCTGCAGACATACACTGTCACCTCCATAAAGCTGAATGTGATACTTCCTAATAAATTAACAGTTTGCAGTTTAGTAAAATGACAAGAAATAAGAAATTGTATTAAAATAAATGCTAACCATAAATGATATCACTTGCTAACAGTAGTTTTTGAAACCATATAAACTAAGCTGTGACTGCAGGATAAAGTACTTTTTATAAAAGACTTGGTAAATCCAACTCTGGGTTTCACTATACCCTTCTAGAGTCTCACTGCAAGCAAACAGAGTATTGCTGCCACCATCTGAAGTTTGCAGTGATGAGACTGTAAAGACTCCAAAACTGCACTACCCCCTAGACCAGTGGTTCTCAATCGGGGGTTCCATATCAGATATTTACATTACGATTCATAACAGTACAAAATTACAGTTATGAAGTAGTAATGAAATAACTTTATGGCTGGGGGTCACCACAACATGAGGAACTGTATTAAAGGATCGAAGCGTTAGGAAAGTTGAGAACCACTGCCCCAGATTGCTGTTTCTTTGTATTGTTTACATGTATCCCGGTAAAATGTAACTGGTACAAAATTAAACTTCTCAGAGAGCTACTTCTCTAGACCCAAATTTAATAGGCTAATTTAGGCAAAATAAAAGACGTCTGAAAGATAGAAAACACTTCAAGAGAAGCTCAGAAAGTAGACTTTGAGTGGAGCCTAGGAAAATGTGTAAGGTTTAAACAGACTGAGGACGAAACGAAGGGATAACCTTAAGCAAAGGCCCAGGGGTGACGGTCAGGGAGTTAGAAGTACAAGTGAGACAGCAGGAGAGAAGTCTTCAGTAAGCAACCCCAAAGACAAAAATAAGGTGCAAAGGCTTAGCTAGCGCTTCTTTCAATGAGGCGGCTCCCTGCAGAAGGACAGTTACCTGCAGTAGCTCTTTAGCTGAACCTCTCTTCTCCACATCCATCTCAAGACAGCGGTTCAGAAAGTCCCGGAAAATAGCCGACAGCTTCTCTGGGTTCTGAAGCTCTGGGGTCCCATTGGTGGCAATGAGGTACAAGGCCTGGCAATACAAATGAAGAATCAGGTTGCTTTCACTGAGGCTCTCTCTCTTGGTCTCAAGACATATCGTCTAAAAGTACAGCCAGCTGCGGTATGCTCTAGGACACAAGGAGGCAGCTGTGATGTTCTGCAGAGAATATACTAACCCAAGGATCAAGTTTAACATTTCAAGGCCATGTGACCATGTATATGCACTTAATATATAACTTCTTTGCTAATAAAACAATGTTTCACTGGGCAGTGGTGGCACACACCTTTAATCCCAGCACTTGGGAGGCAGAGCCAGGCAGATCTCTGTGAGTTCAGGCCAGCCTGGTCTACAGAGTGAGATCCAGGACAGCCAGGACTACATAGAGAAACCCTGTCTTGAAAAACACCAAAAAAAAAAAAAAACAAAACAAACCAAAAATAAACCCAAAAAACAAAACAATGTTTCATATATCCACAAAAATAAAGAGTACATTTACGAAGTACTTTGAACACTTCTGAGGTGTTATAATCTAAGGGTTTATTCTTTTTCTTGATTAACAATAAACAGATATAAAGGGTTTATTATTCACTGAGCATGGTAAGTTAAAAATCTCTTTAGTTGCTGGCAGAAATTGCTGCTGACACCTTCACTGAACTCAGTCACCCAAGAGGACTATAAAAAAGCATCAACTGCTTTTCTGCTGCTTCCCTGCCCCAACATGAAGCAACTCTTGAAAAATAAAGAAAAACATATGTTTTTATAAGCACCAAGCTCTTTGATAACAAGGTTCGTTCTCTCTCTCACTCTCATTTTTTTGAGACAAGGTTTCTTTGTGTAGCTGTGGCTGACCTGGAACTCAGTCTCTAGACAAGGCTGGCCTCGAACTCACAGAGATCCGCCTGCCTCTGCCTCTTGAGTGCTGGGATTAAAGACATGTGCCACCACACTCAGCTGCACTGTCTCATTTTTAATGACCACAGTAACTGAGTAAGAGGCAGGGCAAATGACTGTCCCCTTTCACACGTAAGACTATACATCTGTTGCACTCAGTGTTCACCTGTACTCATTCTAATCCCAGTCTTATTTCCATCATACCACACTGATCACCTTCATATCCCAGGCAGAGGAGGATGTGTTACATGTGGAGTCAGAGGGCAAAGCTGGGACCAAAGGGTAGAAACTAAGACAGTCTCATTTTGAGATAATGAAGCACTTTCCAGGAACTGGAGCTATCCAAGAGTGATATGAGCATGAGGTTAAGGGTGAATATCCCTTATAGGGGAATTCCTGCACCAGATAGGAGGATGGATGAAATGAGAAAATAAAAGCCATCAAAATCACCACTTCCTTGCATCTTTGTTGTATACTCTGCTTCCCTCTCCATTACAAAACAGAAACACGTCCATGCTGTAATCCTTTATTCTAGCTAGCTTCTCTTATCTAGTTAAGGACATCATTCTTGCAGTTGCCATTTCTCTCATGCAAATGGTCATTTTCTTTTCCCCACTAACTCATTTCCATTAGCAAACACACAACTTTTAGCCTACCTCTTCTCAACTCTACCTCAAGATATTGTTCCATTTCTCTGTGACTCTTCATAACAAAACTCATGTAAGAAGAGGAAAATATTTATAAATGCCATCTCAGTTTCCTCCTTTTCTGTTCTACGGGTTTATTCAAATTAAGTGTTTGTCCCTATCACTCTGCTAACTTGCCAGTAAGGCCCTGCTGGAGGAACACGTCACTAGAGGCGGAGCTTTAGGTCTTGCCCTCCTTGCAGTTTGTTGTGTCTGGTTCATGGGTGGTTCTAAATGGAAGCTCTCAGCATCCTGTTCCTGCTGTCATCCTGCCCCTTCCCTCCCATCATGAACTCTTACCATAAGCACAAACTAACTCTTTTCTTCTACAAGTTGCCTTGGTTACAGCACTTTAATCACTGCAACAGAAAAGTAACCAATGCAAAGGTCACTTGAATTTCTCAGCAATTCAGGCTATAGTGACTGCTGATTCCAATTCATCTTGTCAAGATACCTTCCAAGTCTGCTTCTCACCTGCATTCCTACCAGTGTCATCCAAGCTCCCACTCTTGTCTGAACTATTACATCAGTCCCTCACTGTATTTCCTGAAGAAGGAACCAACATGATTCATTTCGGGCACAAACTGTATCCTACTACTATTACCTAGCTGAAAATCCTTTCCAGTGCTGCAAAATAAAAGCCAAGCTCTCACACTGGCCCACAAGTTTTAGCAGGAGGTCCTCTCTTATCCCTGACTCTGACTACCAGTCTACTTTCTCCTCACTCATTTCAGGGATATAGCTTCCTTGATTTTCCTTGGGGCTCAACAAACAAAAATCAAATCAAATTCTTGATACTTGGAAACTCTTGCCTAAGACTAAATCTTCATGTTTCTGCCGAAATAACTAGCAAGAGAAAACATCCCTTTAAATAAAACCTTCCTCATGCCGGGCGGTGGTGGCGCACGCCTTTAATCCCAGCACTCGGGAGGCAGAGCCAGGCGGATCTCTGTGAGTTCGAGGCCAGCCTGGACTACCAAGTGAGCCCCAGGAAAGGCACAAAGCTACACAGAGAAACCCTGTCTCAAAAAACCAAAAAAAAAAAAAAACCTTCCTCATTACTTTTTCAATCGTTCTTATTCTAAATTTTTTTCAACAGCAGTTACCATGTTACTATATAATATTTGGTATTATTATCAGAACAATATCTTGTATATAATAGGAACTCAGCCCTTCCTTCCTCCCCTCAACCCCACAATGCTAGGAATGAGCTCTAAAAATAAGCTATATCCCCAGACCCTGTTATATTTTATATTCATTTATTTAAAATTCAACAGTATCTAGTCGTTGGGTTTATGTGTGTATTGCTTTTATTTATTTAGTGTGTGTACACGTGTATGTGAGCACATGTGGACCACACAGTAGATGTGTGGGGATCAGAGGACAAGTTGTAATAATTCGTTCTCTCTTTTTACCATGTAGGTCCCAGGGATTAAATTCAAGTCATCAGGCTTGGTGGTAGGAGCCTTAACTCACTAAATCATCTCACCAGATCCCTTGGTTTTGTTTTTTGAGACAAGTTGGCCTCAAACTGGCAATCTTCTTATCTCAGTCTTGTGAGTCTAGGATTATAAGAATGAGTTACTATGCCCAGGTATACAGAGAAAGAGCCTGAATCCAGTTTCCTGGGATTAGAGACAACAGCCCAAATAATTTGAAAGAAGATGGGAACACTTACTCTCAAGGGGTTTTCATTCAGGTATGGGGGCTCCCCCTCAATCATTTCAATTGCCATGATACCCAGGGACCAGATGTCAACCTTGGGTCCATACGCCTTCCGTGTTACAACTTCAGGTGCCATCCAATACGGAGTTCCCACCATGGTGCTCCTTTTGCTCTGCTCTGGAGTTATCTGTGCACAGAATCCAAAGTCAGCTAGAAACGAGGAGAGGAAAGACACACTTAGGATAGTCCATCAGTAAGTGCTGTGTACCCACACATGGCCGTCAAGTTTTGCTCTCTGCAATCTGTCTCCCCAAAGCAGGAATCACTTGACTGCTACCAGTCTACTCCTCATTCAACCATGAAGAGAAGTAGGAGGAATATACAGAACATCACTAGCTTTCCGCCTTCTCCTCAAACCAAATGGTCAAGGCCTTAAAGTCCAGCAGGTCATTTTGGCCTTAATTGCTTGGCCCTTTATACATAAAAAAAAACATTTCCACACCTCAGAATCTTATAATTAACTCCTTCTGTTATCTTCTGGACATAAGTCGCTGAATTAAACCCCAATCCCCAACACTGAAATGTGGCCCTAATTTTATCAGCTCCTTACTCTACATGCTAACAAAGTCCTCTCATAGACGGTCTACCCACTTATGACACAGTTTGTCTAGGTAACTTGTTTCACACCTTTGTACAAAATGTAGTTCTTTCACATTATACTGAAAGTACACATTTATTTAAATTGGTAGTACCCTGATAGTAAAGACTGTCTTCTTTGTATCTCTAAGAGCATTGGCATATAATAGATATTCAGCAATTGGTTACTGAATAAATAACTGAATGAGGGCTGGAGAGATGGCTCAGAGGTTAAGAGCACTGGCTGTTCTTCCAGAGGTCCTGAGTTCAATTCCCAGCAACCACATGGTGGCTCACAACCGTCTATAATGAGATCTGGTGTCCTCTACTGGCCGGCAGGCTGAACACTCACTGTATGTATGATAAATAAATAAACTCTTTAAAAAAAAAATAACTGAATGAGTGAAGTTACATAAAACTTTTTTTCTAATTCATGACAAGTCTCTCATATGAGACTGAAAATTCCTTGAAGACTGATAAAATGTACCCTCAGAGTCTACGAGAGAACCACAGAAATAGGCATTCGGGGGGAAGTGTTTCAATGTATAAAAGAACTGAGAAATAGTGAAAAAATACTGTAAGATAATACAGAGGAAAATAAGTATCCCATAATATCTTATGAAATAACAAAGTCTCTTTGGTGAATGCTATAATCACTATTATTTAATTACCATCCCACCAGAGACACAGCCCCGCATGTAGAGAAGTGTTATCATTCCTTAGACTCATACTTACTTAACTTGACGGAGCCATCCATTCCCAGCAGAATGTTGTCACTCTTGATGTCTCTGTGAATGACTTGGTTTGAATGTAGGAACTCCAAAGCTTGTAGACACTGTTGAAGTAGTGAGCGCAGAATAAAGAAAGAAACATATAATTAGAAGACTAACAATAATCTAACCTCCTCATTTTAAGATAAAGGAAGTAAGGCCCCCAGGAAGAAACAGACTTGCCCCACATAAAGAGGCAGAGCCAGCTATATAACCAAATCTTCTGTCTTCTAACTAAGCATTCTTTTAAAACTCCATGGGGCAGGGTGGGGGTGTAGGAGGCTGTAGAGATGGCTCAGTGTCCACACTGGGCAGCTAACAACTGTCCGTCACTCCAACCTGAGGGGATCCTATGCCTTTGGCCTCCTTGGACATCCACATACATGTGCACCTAACCCTCCACCCCAAACACACACACAACTTAAATTTTAATTTAAAACTGCATGCTGCTTTCATCTTATAATTTTCCTTTAAGCAAAAATATTCTATCAATATATTTCCATGTCTAGGAAAGGAGATACATGGAACTGATGTTTGCAGATGGTCTTATTTTGGGAAAGGAAGTCTGTACTATTTGGAACACATTGAATTTGACATTTCTATGAAACATGAAGACAAATGTTCAGTGGGCACCTGAATTTATTTTAAGTTCTATACAGAGACTGATATTTACAAATCATTTACAAAGACAGATTTTTTTTTTAAGTACCAAGAAGTAAAACTATGGCCTCAAAAATACCAGGCATATATTCTCTCACTGACCCACACTGTCAGCACAAATAGACTTTTAAGGTTTAGTAATGATTACAACCAGTAAAGAATATGAGAAAAATTTAGAAAGAAAGAAAGAGAGAGAGAGGGGGGAAGGGGAAGAAAAGGAACAAAACAAAACACCTATTGTGATGATTCCCCAACACATACATACCAACTTAAAACACTTATATTTACCCAACAGAGTGAGTGGCAAATGGTACAATGAAAATGTCTGGTTCTGGGGAAGTGAGATGGCTCAGAGGGTTAAGGAGTTTGCCACCAAGTTTTATAACCTAAGCTAGATCCCTGGAATCTACAAGGTGGAGTTATCCTCTAACTTCCACATGTATACCGTGGCATGTACACATCCACATACATGCATGTGCACACACACATATACACAATTGCAAAAGAATTTTTTAAATAAAAGTAAGGCAGTATCTTAAAAAATTTTAAAGTGGGTTTATATATTTTATTTTATGTGAGAGGGTTTTGCCAGCACATATGTATGCACATCATGTTTAGTGCTTGTGGAGGTCAGAAGAAGGTATCACTATTAGACTTTAAGAAAAATAATACCACCTATTTATATAACGTTTAAATTTCTGGCCCTGTTTCTCGTGGCTTTGGTGCAGTTCTTGGGATCAAACTCAGAGCCTAATGTATATTACACTACTCAGCTGATCTACACTCTCAAGTTCCCAAGTGCTTAAAAGAAAAAAATCCATATCCTTTAATAGTCACTTCATAAATATGCTGAAAAATGGTGAATTATATACTTCAAGGGGATGAATTATATCTCAGTAAGCTGTTTCCAAAGTGGTAATGATCTCTATTATATTTTAAGAATAATAATACCACTTATTTAACACTTGTACTTTCTTGTCAAGTTTTCTGTTGGTACAGTTCTGGGGATCAAACTCAGGGCTTGTGCAAAGATGTCATTTATTTATTTTTACTAGGGGTGAGGTCTATGTGTGCACTCAGGTCACCAGGCTTTCACTTCAAGGGTAGAGGTGAAAAGAAGTTAAATAATATAATGATTTTTGACCCTCCAAAGGGCAGCTACATCTACACAACTATCCATCATATCTGTAGTATTAAAATTTCATAGGAAGAATGTGATGGGGAGGGCTTCTTGGGAAGAGTTTGTTTATTTATTTATTTATTTATTGGTTTTTCAAGACAAAGTTTCCCTGTGTAACAGCTCTGGCTGTCCTGGAACTTACTTTATAGGTCAGGCTGGCTTTGAACTCACAGAGAACTGCCTGCCTCTGCCTCCCCAGTGCTGGGATTGCAGGCATATGCCACCTTCTCAGGTTTTCTGCTGGAGTCAGTTTATTCTAGAATTCTGCTGGCTTACCTCTACATGTCATTCAGATGCATATTCAAACCAAGGGTGGAACCTTCTCCGACTACCTATCTGAAGCATGTCATTACCTTCTTACCAGCTTTATTTCCTTCACAGTACACAAAGCAGGGAGGCAGGAAAAAATGGTTCAAATGTATGTCCAAATAAAAGAGATGAAGAGAAATAGTATGTGTTAAAACAACTATAATCACAGATTCAAAGTATGAATGACTGTTTTAGTATGTACGTCTAATTTTTCTATCATGGTCGGAACAGTTAGCTTTAAAGAACATGATTACAGAAATTATAAAATACAACCATACAATATGAATGATAAGTGCCAGAACTAACTTCTCCCATTTTGACAGAGTCCAGACTAAAGCCTCTTTATTGTGTGAACTTTCAAGGACAATAATATGAAGTCACTTCCTGTTTGACCCTTGGCCTTACCTCTCGGCATACAGCTGCTATCTGGCCTTCATCCATACAGGTTTCTGTCACCACATCTGTCAAAGAGCCTCCAGCCAAGTATTCCATGACAACCCATAGCTCATCTCCCACAAGGTAACTGCAGGAAAACAGGTATAGGGCAAGAAGGACTAGTTAGAATATATTAAGCCACTGCAGGGTTTCAAAACCAAGGAACTAGGATATAAAGGAAACTATCTCAGGCAGATTAAGAGTCTAGGGTTCCTTACTCCAGGAAAAATCAAAATTTGGAGGACAGAATCAGTAATTTTAAATCACCTGAAGATACACCTGGGAAAAAACAAAACATACATGGTCTGTGAAGTCCCAAACACTAAAACTAAGAACACCATGTTGAAATATAAAATCCTATTTCATTGCAATACCAAAGGATACCTCCTAAAATTGGAAAGACTAGCATTATTCCCACAGCTATAAAGTATTCAGGCAGTATCCACACATGTGAAAAGGATGGGATTTGGAAGTCATATTATCATCAAAAGAGGGCCACAGGATCTCCTTGAGAGTTCTACTAGATCTGAGATCCACAAGGTAAACTGGGTCTAGTTCAAGAGCCTAGCCCCAGGGTCCAGCACAGTAGATACCAATAGTTACTGAATAAATCCATGAGTAAGATAGTATGTATGTTAAACGTATATTATTATAATATATATTAAGTGAAAGGATGGTGATAGGTCTTCAAAAGCTGTAAAATGTACACAAGGTTACTAGGCTGACAATGACTTTTATGTTGAGTTTCTAGGATTCCAGCTTCTTCTAATAAACCAAGGCTGTGGTTTGGTAGCCTGGGACATTATAAACTGGGACATTAGTTAGAACTGAATTTGACTCAGAGAACAGTTCTCTCAGACCCATTACATGATAAATAAAAAGGTAACTTAATCCACCTGGTCAACTCACTGTAGACAAATGAAAAGAGGCTAAATGACTTGCATTAACCTTCTGCAAAGAAACTATGCTGGAAAAACCACGTGTTGGCTTAAGGTATGAGATCTGTCATCTTTTCTTCATCCTGGTAATGGGTCTCTTACTTGGTAGATGGGAAAACTTGAAAGATTTTAAGACTTATCTCAAACAAAGATATGACTTCAGTCTTGTTCTTTTGTAACTTTCTTCTGGTGATGCTGGGAAGCAAACTCAGAGCCTCACACATGCTGGCCAAGCATCCTTCTATTACTGGGCCACATCTCCATCCAATGGTGGTGTTTGTTTTTTAAGGTGATGAAGAATAAATGGGACAAGTTAAAAATGGCAGTGCATGTCTTAATCCTAGCAGTCAGGAGGTAGAGGCTGGTAAGCGAAAATGTTCTGTACTTTCAGTTCAATGCAAGTTTATATAAGGGGGGGGTAATCAATTTCAGTTAACCACAAACTTACTAGTAGTTAACAATGAAACAACAGGCATGGGGGGCGGGCAACAAGTGGATGCACTTTTGTTAAGTTTAAAAAAACAGATTCCCAGCCGGGCGGTGGTGGCGCACGCCTTTAATCCCAGCACTCGGGAGGCAGAGCCAGGCGGATCTCTGTGAGTTCGAGGCCAGCCTGGTCTCCAAAGCGAGTTCCAGGAAAGGCGCAAAGCTACACAGAGAAACCCTGTCTCGGAAAAAAAAAAAAAAAAACAGATTCCCATTTTCTCCATGGTGGTCAGATTTCTAAACAACACCAAGACTGGAGTGAGCATCACATTAAGAGTTTATAGACAACAAAGAGTTATTCAGGAGGGTGAGCAGGATGAAGAAATGTTTGGAATATAGAATGAAATAAAGACATCAGGCAGGAGGACTGAAGAGGCAAACTTCCCTAAATCAGAAAGCACAGTAAAAGAATCAGTTGTTAGAAGCTAGGGGTGGTGGGGTTAACCATCACCCAGGAGGATTTTCCAGCAATCAAGGAGCTCAGCACAGAAAATACTTAGTTGGAAGCAGTTCCAAGTGCTGGCTTCATTTTCTCCTCCAACACATCAGTCTCAAAGGCCTGAAACTTCTGACAGAACCCACCCACTCCATACCTGTCCAGATAGTTCACAATATTTGGGTTTTTGTTTTCCCTCATGACCAGGATCTCATTAATAATCAGCTCTTTCTTCGGCTGCTGCTGAAGATTCATCTGTTTAATGGCCACCTGAAATACCAGTACATTCAACGTACACCAAGGGTCACACAACATTTACTAAGCATACATTCAGCACTATACCTTAAGTACTAAGGAAACAATGAAGAATTAAGGACATGGCCTTAGCCTTAAAGTAATTAATAACTTATCAATGTTAAACAAATGGTTTTCAAAGGGAATTCTCTCAACCAGTAGCATTTCACATCATCTCAAAGACTGTTGGAAAGAAATGTTCTCAGGTACCACTACAAACTTACTGAAATAAAAAACTGTTTTAATAAGCCCCTGTGCTATTCTGACATATCAAAATTTGATACCTCAATATAAAAAAATTTTTTAAAAATCATTAGATAGAGAGTTGGTACTACCTATTATCCTAGCACCCAGAAGGCTAGATAGGAGAATTGTACATTGGTGACCAGCCTGGCTTCATAGTTAAACTGTCTTTTAAAAAATGGTAATAAAAAACAAAAGGAGCTATGAGAAGTTCAAAGAAGTTAATTAAAAAATAAAATAATAATATGTTCTGAATATGGGACTGGAGAGATGTCTTAGCCATTAACAGCATGTTCTGCTCTTACAGGGTTTTCCAAGCATTCACATTAGGCAGCTCACAACTACCTATAACTCCAGTTCCATGGGATCTGATGTCCTATTCTGACCTCTGCAGGCACCTGTAGTTATATGAACATTACACCACCACCACCACCACCACCACCACCACCACCACCACCACCACCACCACACACATACACATATGGCATGGAAAGATAAATCAGAGATTACCAGGTTAAGAAATATTAAGAAAGGGGACAAGATTTCTCATGCTTCCATGTGAAAAAGAGCTTCATGGGTTCTTTGTTTATATAAATAAAACAAAATCCCACTTAACCACTTAGTACAAATAATAAGGTATACTTTAGATCCCTAGGTATTAGGTACTCTTCTAAAGTGTTCACAAATTTGTTATCTTTATTTCTTTCTTTCTTTTATTTTTTTGGAGTCAGGGTCTCACTATGTAGTCCTGACTCTGACTTGCCTAGAACTCACTATGTAGACCAGGCTGGCCTCAAACTCTCCCAACTGCTGGACTTAAAAGGCATGTGTCACCACACCTAGCCAAATTTGCTATCTCATTTAATCTGAGGTACCTTGTATATAACTTTTTCAACAAATGAGGAAATTGTGATTCAGAGAGGATACGTGACTTGCATGCACAGTAATTCAGTAGTAAAAATCAGAAATAGACTCTTCAAAGGCTATTTCATTTGGGTCAGTGACACAGGTCAGCAGGTAATGGGATCCATTTAGTAGATAGAAAGAAGCAATTCCTGCAAGTTTTCCTCTGACCTACACATGTGCTGAGGCATGTACACATACACATACACATACATATAAAAGGTACTTTGTTTTAATTTATACTGCTAATACAGACTAGTCCCCCCAACCCCATACACACTGGGTAACTCTCTTCCCATCTGAAAGCAAAAATGGCTCATCTGCCTAGAAATATTCCTCATCTTGACATCCAAGTTTCTCAATGTTATTATTTCCCACTGCACTCTACTACATGTTCCATGTTCTCCCTGCCTCTGTTTAAGATCACCTCTGTCTGGAACAGACTGTACCAATTTTACACAGTCAGAAGCTTTGTATCATGGCAAAGGAAACTTCATCCTCAAACTTTGTGTGTGTGTGTGTGTGTGTGTGTGTGTGTGTGTGTGTGTGTGTGTGTGTATTTTCCCCTTTTTTAGAAAGTCCTGTAGGATCATGTTATTCCTACTACTTTGTATGAAGAATCAGGTATATATGTGTGTGCATGAATATATCTAGACATTTCAGAGCTTAACTAAAAGCCTCAAAACCACAATGTCAAGCACAGGGATCAACAAATATAGCTGGTTCTTAGAGAGAAAGAGAAGCACTAAGTTCTTTGTTTTGAACACACACACACACAAACACTACTACTACTACATCCCATACACTGTTTGCTAAATACTTATTCCCTAGAGATAGTTTCTTTTTTCTTGCTTAGTAGACAAGAATATGGCCATCTATTAGAACTTCTTTTTAGAAGCAGCAGTAAGAATGAAGGATGCAGGCTGGAGTATTGGCTCAGGGGTTAAGATCACTGAAGACCCGGTTCAATTCCCAGCAGCCACATGGCAGCTCATAATTATCTAGCCCCAGTTTCAATGGACCCACTGCCTTCTGCGCTCCTTGGGCACACACAAGGTGTATGGACACACATGCAGGATAAATACCTATACATATAAAAATAAGTAAAAATTAAAAAAAAATGAGTGATGCAAACATTTTGAAGTCAAATACTACTTCAAGTCAATAAAGTCTTCTGAAGAGGCTCAGCTAATTATTAAGAATAAAAATAATTCATATGGGCCATCAAGATGGGTCAGTGGATCAAGGTTCTTGTAGCCGAATCTGGCAACCTATGTTTGATTCCTGGAACCCACATGACAAAAGGAAAAGAACAAACTCCCTCTGACATCCTCACATGTGCCATGGAGGACATGGTCATCATGGTCATGTGCATGCATTCCCACCCACCCCACCCACACATACACTCATATTCTCTCTTACACACACATAAGTATAATAAAAAAATTTTTTTAATGATTTTGTTAAGCATTTTGACCTCTTCCATTTCTAACTCTAAATGAATTGTTTGGAAATGGGTTTCCCAGCAGGTCAGGCCTTAGGTCTCACTGCATCTTCCCATAATGGCTGAGGAGTACCTTTTCCTAAGGGTTGGAAAGAGACACATTAATCTCCTGTAGATATGAAGTAAGGCTTTACAACTAGGACTGGGGCCTTAAGGTTCCCTTTGGAGCTCCTTAGACCATCCTGGAGGATGAGCTAGTGCCTTGTGAACCTCCCAGTGGTCATCAGAAGCAGCAGCAAGGCAGAAGGCCAGCAGAGGCTAGGATAAGACACTGAGAGTCCCTTTTAGTCACTACTGATGGGCTCTAGAGCTCTGGCTAAATGCCTTGACCTAATAAAACCCTGTCCATCCAGGACAGGCAATACCACTCCTATAAAAGAAAAAAACTGGACTGGAACCTAAAAGCTCTAAGCTTTAGGCTTGACTGTCAATTTCTAAATTTGACTAATCACCAGTTTTATGACCCTAAATCTCTTTATAAATATACTGAAAATAATAACTCAGCCATGATTCACCTACTCAAAATATGTTTTGAGTACTAAAAAAACAGACATGTCACTCACACATAAGTAAAAGATTTAAGTAATAAAGGAAGCCAGCAATGAATATGATTAAGTATAGCAGTCACACTTCTGACAAGTACCTGGCACAGAACAGCAAGAATGATGACTGTGCTTCCTGCTGTACTTACCTATCTAAGACAAACCTAACAACCCTTCAAAGTAATGTGCTGCATTTTTAGGTACAGATGCTGAAGCTAAGGCTTGAAAGAAAACTGTCTATGATCATAATCAATGCTCACAGACCAGTATAACTCCAAAAGCTCTTCTAATATGTTCTTTCTATTACACACATTAACTTTAAAAACAAGCTTGAAAAATGACTGATCTCTAACAGGGAGATTTCCCAGCACTAACATGCTAACCTGTCTATATGTGACAGACAAAAGCTCCCCTCTTCCAGCTAGATAACACCCCCACAATCATTCACAATGACTAAGAGCATCACTCTAGCCTCACTACAGATTTATATTCCCTTGGGCAGGAAATGAGGCCTTCCTGACCACACTGCATTAGCCTCTCTAATGGATTTGCTTCCATTCATAGTTTTTTTAACCACAAGACAAGCACACGGCAAAGTCAAGTTTCTCTTTCCTGTGGCCCGCTTCTCACACAGGCATCTCCAAGACTTCCAGGAACACAATCACCCGTCTGTCTCCCATCAAAGGTTACAAGGCCTAAGAGGACAGAAACATGGTAAAAGGAGGTCTCTAATACCTAACCTTAGCTCCTCTGCTGTGACTCTGCAGCCCAAAATACACAGGATTTAATTCTAACTCAGACCCCTGATAGAAAAAGATCAAATGGTTCACCCAAGGTAGCAGATAATAACTTTAGGCATGCATCCATGTCTTTAAATTTTCAATTAATTATTAACTATAATAATGATTTTATTTATTTTTTAAGATTTTTTTAAAAGATTTATTTATTTATTATGTATACAGCATGTGTGCCTACAGGCCGGAAGAGGGCACCAGATCTCATTACAGATGGTTGTGAGCCACCATGTGGTTGCTGGGAATTGAACTCAGGACCTCTGGAAGAGCAGCCAGTGCTCTTAACCTCTGAGCAATCTCTCCAGCCCCCAAGATTTTATTTTTAATTATGTGTATTATGTTTGTGTCTTTGTGTGGGTTTGTGCACATGAGTGTACTGCTTGCTGAGGCCGGAGGAGGGTGTTGGATACCCTATTCATGGAGGTACAGGCCCTTGTAAGTCACCCAACTGAGGGTACTGGGAACTGAACTTGAGTCTTTTGCAAAAACAGCAAGTGCTCTTAACTACTGCGCCATCTCTCCAGTTCCCATACTGGTGATTTTAAAAATTGATTTACTCTCACACAACATCAGTATTTGGCTTTTACACCTCTAAAAAGTTAACCAGAACCCAATAAAACCTGTACTATCCCTCAAAGATACCAGATTTTGATAACCAAAAATATATAAGTAGATCAAAGCAGCCTCTCTCAGAGAAGCAAAATTTTATTTTCACTCAAAGAAGTTCCTCTCTCAGTTTCTGAGCTCCAATACTTTTATAACTAAGAATTTCTCCCAGGTAGCTACTAACCACAACCCACCTGTCAGCATTCCTGTTTTGTAAACAATCAAGGGTAGTCTACAAGGAACCTCCAATTGATATTCCCTTCATGGATTCCTTTTGCTGATCTTGGATCAGCGGGCTTTAGCAATAAGGTCAGCATTCTGATGGCTTAATAAAATAAGGACAAAGAGGAACCTCCCAATAAACAAGGCCTCCAATGTCCAGTGGGATCTGAAGCACAGAGTTGGAAGTTACTAGATTAGAAGCTGACAGCCATAGGTTTAAATCTCCCATAACTAGGCAGTTCAGTAAGATCTCTCCAGCTATCCACCTTCTTTATACTTATACCTCTGACTTTATTCTTTCTCCTTGAACAATATTGCCACCTGGAAGTTGTTCTCACATTCTATCATTAAGTTCTGTCAAGTTACCTGCTAACCATTTCTCAAATCTACTTACTTCTACAGCTACATCTCTCATGGGGAATTATAAAACCATCTCTTGGCTTACACGGTCCATCCTTCCTCCTCTAACCTGCTCTCCATCCTGATCTTTGGTAGCTTTTGCAAAAGTTTAAAGTCTCATCATATTCATCTCCTATTTGAGCCTACCAAGGTACAGAAAGAAACCAGAAATGTCCCACTGAGCCAAAGAGAGAGAAAGGGAGGCATGGGGGGATAAAATTAACTGCAAATGAAATTAAAAACAAACACTTTAGGAGTAGAAGTCCAACAGCTGGTGATGAGTACTTACCTCCTGCCCTGTGGCTACGTCCATTGCAGTATACACTGTGCCTGAAGCACTGAAAGGAAGATAAGGGAGGAAGGAACATAAACACAGGTGGTCAGTGAGGTAGTATTTGTTCATGCAGCTCTGCACACAACCTGGAACTATGTGAACAAAAGCAGCCAGGGTAAAGCCTCCCTCTGCAACCTCCCACTCTCGCATTTGAAAGCCAGTGTGTGGTAGTAAAGAAGGAAGGCCTTAACCAATCTAGAACTTCTACTTTGTCTGATCTCAAGCAACTTATGACTCGGAGCTTTACTTAGACACATATGTCAGAGTTTAGTTCATAAAATGCAAAAGTGTTCAAAGACATTCATTCTTAAACCTGCTTGCCCTCCTCTTCTCTGCTCCCCTTGTGAACTTGCTTTCATTTCTTATACTTTCAACTGGGAGTGACAGGATGGGAAAGGGAGACCAAGGAGAAGTTCAGAATGAAATGGGGGGAGAGATGGCTTATATATATTTATTAAAATATAGACTTTTAGAGTATCAGTAATGTTCTCTTTATTGACCTGGATGCATCTTACATTCTTGTATGTACTTTTTGAAAATTCATTGAGCAATATACTTATGCATGTTATCTTCTTTTAAAATTTACATTAAAAACTACAACTAGAGCTTGTTTTTGGTGGCATCTGCCTGTAATTCTGTAACTCAGTGAACCAAGGGAGGAGGATGGGCAAGACACTAAAAAAAGTGGTAGCAAGGACTAATATTCAGCTTTTAAGATTCTATTCCACAGTTAATCTTTAAAAAGTATAACTGATTTTTAAAAACTATGAAAACTTGGTGAACTCACACTGAATAGCCTGAAATAATCTTGAAGTATCCTTCCTCTCCTTATTATAGGATACCTTGACACTTTTTAAAAATCATACTTTTCAATCACAACTGATCAAAATGGTTTCATATTCTATGGTTGAAATGAAATGCATTTTTAGTTTTTTCAAAAATGATACTGCACATACTTTTCCAAATATATGTACTTCCAGAAAAGCTGAGATTATTTCTACCTCACCCTCAAAGTAAGACTAGCTCCACGAAAGACATATGAACATGTAGGTATTTATATACACACTCAAACAGAGACGGGGTAAGTGAAAGAGATCCTGAAAATAATGCTGCATGATGCTATCTCTATGAAATAACTAAAGCCCTCATCTTGTGCCTAAAATCACAAATCCTGTATATGCCTAGGTAATTTGCAACACATATTTGTAGGTATACACAACATATGTCACATATATAAAGTGCAATTTGTAGACATTTTTAATTCTAGTCTTTTATAAGATGTTCCCAGCAAATCCTGAAGTTACGCTTCCCATAAAAGTCATGTTAATTTAAGAAGAAAAGACAGCTGGACGTATGTGGTATTGTATTCCCCCAAATATTGTGCATGCTAATAAACTTATCTGGGGTCAGAGACAGAACAGCCACATAAAGGATAGGCAGTAGTAGCACACGCCTTTAATCCTAGCATTCCAGAGGCAGAAATCCATATGTTCAAGGATACAGACAGGCATGGTGACTCATCATGCCTTTAATCCCAGAAAGCAAGCCTTTAATCCCAGGGAGTGGTGGTAGAAAGCAGAAAGGTATATAAGGCGTGAGGACCAGAAACTAGCAGCATTTGGCTGGTTAAGCGTTCAGGCTTCTAGCAACACAGTTCAGCTGAGACCCATTCTGGATGAGGACTCAGAGGCCTCCAGTCTGAGGAAACAAGACCAGCTGAGGATCTGGCAAGGTGAGGTAGCTGTGGCTTGTTCTGGTTCTCTGATCTTCCAGTTCACCCCAATACCTGGCTCAGGTTTGATTTTATTAATAAGAACTTTTAAGATTCCTGCTACAGACGTATGCCTCCAGCTAGGAACTATGGTCCCCAGCTCCCTAACCACCACCCCTTGACAGCCTAGCTACGTGCATGTAAAGTGTAATTATAAGATATGGGCTCTCAAATGAGGACTAGATATGTTCAATGTAGCTATTTCTTCACTACCTAACCATCTTTACCTAGAGATCTTTAGTTACAGAATGTGTGTCTATTTTCCTGACCCTAGCCCTCTTTATTCCTGTCAATTTGCACCACTCTTTATAAATGTTTAGATTTTATCTGTATTTTTATTTTGCCTACATGTATGTATGTGCACCGTGTGTGTGCCTGGTGCCTGGGGAAGTCAGAAGTGGAAATGGGACTCCCTGTAACTAGAATTATGGATGGTTGTAAGCTACCTTGTGGGTGATAGGAACCAAACCTAGGTCTTCTGCAAGAACAAAAATACACTTAGTAACTGAGCTATCTCTCCAGCTACCATATATACACCATCCTTAAAGGACAAACATGTTCAAGTCTCAGAGACTAAACATTTGAGATTATATCTTTCATGTTTACAAAGTTTTAGAAAGCTACATGAGCAGATATAAGATCAGACACTTAACGGTCTTTAGGTCCTAAAAAGGAAGCAAGCCTAAATTATAACAGTACCAACCAATGCATCAAACTGGTGTGACATTTTTAAATTATGAAACACAACATTAACAAAGGTGCTTAATAAATATTTCATTCTTGCCTTAACCTTAGCAGGCCTGTGAAATAAAGCAGAGAACATTTCCTAGATGTTATACATTTAATTCTTTAAAGGCATGTTTCAGAGGAGAAATGCCCTTAATCCACAATCCTCCAAATTTACAGATAAAGAAGCTCAAACCCAGAGGAATCCGACTAGCTGAAATTCACCCGTGTACCTTTTTGCTACATTCTTTTTTTTTTTTTTTTTTTTTTTTTTGTCTTTTTGGTTTTTTTTGAGACAGGGTTTCTCTGTGTAGCTTTGGAGCCTGTCCTGGAACTCACTCTGTAGCCCAGGCTGGCCTCGAACTCACAGAGATCTGCCTGCCTCTCCCTCTGCCTCCCAAGTGCTGGGATTAAAGGCGTGCGCCACCACCGCCAGGTGCTACATTCTTAATAACTCAATTTAATCACCTAAAAACAAAAATGCCATCTATATTACTGAGGTAAGCAAAATAATTTCTTCTCAATATGTAAGCTATCTTTCTCTACCAGCTTGGACTCACAAAGGCAAGGAACTATCAGTGGGAAAGCCACTTGGATCAGGAAAAAGGGCATCTGCTCAGCCAAAAGTTGCTTTGAGGATCATACTGAAACTCAATGTAAATAACAAACTATAAAATGATACGCAAAATGTCACCCCATCCCCATATTTTACAATTCTTTAACATATTTTCAGAAATTTCTGTTAGCCTAAGAAAATTAAGACAAAAAAATTCAATTAGTAACAATGCTTTTGTTCCACTGAGAGCCAACTATGAGCCAAACTTAATTTTTTCAGTTTCTTTTAAATTTCATGTGGTTTTTTTGGCATATTCATAGAAACCTCATTATTTTCACTTTTCATATAGAGGTACAATTTACCAAAATTTTTCTGCATTAAGTTATATGTGTATAATTTGATTTTTACATATGTACACAACTTCCGTTCACCACTAAGCTTCTTGCAACAGTCGCTCTTTCAAAGATTTTTTTTTTTTTAATGTGCACTGATGTTTTGCCATTGGTGCTGGGTCTCTTGGAACTGGATTTATAGACAGTTGCTAGCTGCCATGTGGGTGCTAGGAATTGAACCCCGGTCCTCTGGAAGAGCAGTCAGTACTCTTAACCGCCGAGCCATCTCTCCGGCCCCAACATTCCCTCTTTCTTTGTCCCGTTTGACTTCCTCCCAGACAAAAGGTGACTTCTACACTATAATTCTTTTGTGTCTTTCTATCTCCAGCTGACTTGAGATCCTTGAAGGCAGAGATTGTGCCTGATTCATAGCCATATTCACACTCCTCAACACACAACAAAACTCAGTTAAAGACTTGCTGAGTTCAATACACTGAGAGGACAGCATACGGTTGTAGAGATGAAATAGAGAGTAAAACTCATGAATTTTGTCATCCACCCAGAAAAATAGGTCCCATCCCATTACTAGAAAGTCTATAGAACTGAGTCTTAAATTTCATATTAGTGATTATAGGTCTCAGAACTAGGGCAAACAGGGTTAATATGGAAAATCAGTTATAGTTTGGGAAGCTGGTTTCATGCTAAAAAATAGATGACTCGTTTATTCTTGAGGCAGGGGTACTTTAGTATGGCCAAATACTATTTTAGTATTTTAGTATAGCACATCTCTCATATAAAGCATAATTCTGCAAAATCTGGAAGTCATTCTAATATAACAGATAGGTGAGGCAAAGTAAAGAAAGAGAACAAGGTTGATGAGAGGCAAAAAAACAAGTAAATTCATATATGCCAGTACATACAATTTTAAGTCATTTCTCCAAGGAAACAGAACGCCCCTACTAACCCTTGTCCAATCTTCTCAAACCGTGTATACTTCTTCTTAGGATCGCCCACACTCACTATGCTCCCTTTGAAAGAAACAGAGACCATGAATCATTTTTGTTCCAGATCAAGATACACAAGAGAGCCCATGATCCTCTTAAATCCCTAAGGTGACAAGTTTTAAAGAACTGTGTCCAGTTCCCCTCAAAGCATCCTAACCAGGCATTAACGTTCCCTCAGGAAATCTCAACCAAAAGTTTGATTTATTCCTCTCTCCTCCTCTGTTTTGTTTTTTGGGGGCCAGGGTTTCTCTGTGTAGCCCTGGCTATCCTGGAACTCCCTTTGTAGACCTGGCTGGCCTCAAACTCACAGAGATCTGCTTGCCTCAACCTCCTGAGTGTTGAGACTAAAGGCGTACACCACCACTGCCTGGCTACAACCAAAAGTTTTATATCCTTGATTGTGTTTATTCATAGTAATTTACTCCATTTCTGAACTTCTAAGAGCCACTCATTCATTTTAAAATTAACTCATTAAACATTTATTCATTTATTACATACCAGACTAAATGCTGAGTGCTAGAAATAAAGAGGAAGACGAGGTACACTTAAGACAGTCACTCCTCTCAAGAAGCATCGCTGTAAGGAATGCTGTAAGGATAGGGAATAGAGAAAGAGGCAGAGAAACAGACTGCAAAGGCTCCAGAAAGGCCCTATCTAAGCTGATTTTTATAAGTACAACTCCGCTAGGTTAAGAAAGCCAAGAGAGTTCTGTAGCAGGAGATAGTTTAAATAAAAAACACAGAAGGATGAGAGAGCCCATGGGTCTCACAGCAGTATTCTAGAGGCAGGGAACTGCAGCCCACAGAGGAAGATACTTCCTCAAAGTCATAGAGTAAACTGGTGTCAGAGCTAACATTCAGAGTTTGGTTTTTAGTCTCTCAATCCAATTAGCTTTCCCACTGATATCTCAATCACTAGGATCTGGTACTTCTCACATACAATATTATGTCCTTTAATTTAAAACAAATCAGGGGGGCTGAAGAGATGGCTCCGTGGATAAGAGCACTGGCTGCTCTTCCAGAGGACCCAGGTTCAATTCCCAGAGCCCACATGGCAGCTCACAACTGTCTGTGGCTCCAGGTTCAGGGGATCTGACACCCTCACACCAATGCACATAAAATAAATTTTTTTTAAAAAGCAGGTATTAGTATCACTATTTAAAAGGTGTGAGGGGGAAGGAGGCTCAAAGAATAGCAGGAAATTGTCTAAGCCAGTCTGCTTTCTATAACGCATTGTATTACTATGAGGGGACATTCTGGTTTAGGGAACAAGAGAACATAGGATTAAACAGATGCCAGGAAGTAGCTTTTACTTCATCATAGGAGGGCCCTCGCAAGGGCAATTCTTAAGACAGTGAACTAAACAAACAAATAAATTTTAAAAAAAGGCAAACAAAAATTAGGAAAATTATTAGGAAGAAATAGAAGTCGCTAAACTCAAGAGCCAGAAGCCTCAGCTTTAGAAAGCAGCATGGACGTCCGTTCAGGCTTGATCAAACCAGTTGTGTCGACCCCTTTCTCAATGATTCCTCCAAGGGGGGAATCAACCTCTACCTGACTGCAGGAGGCAATCCGCTCTAGTTACAAAATCACAGCTTCATCTAACCTCAGCTGCACCTCTTTGCAGCTCGATGATCTGGGACAGGGTATTTAGAATCTTTGGGTCTTAAAAACCTAGACTGCAAAAATGAAGATTACCATGGGTATCTTCATAGAGTTACTATAATAAAATTTAAAAATTCAAGAAAGTATCTGTTTTGCTTGTCATTTTTTACATGGTGCAGGCTCATAAAACATGGTTTCTCTTTCCTAATTTTTCTACATCCACGATGGCAGAGCTGTCTTCTCCTAGGTCAATAGCAAGCATCAACGAGAGCACTCTTTTCCACCAAGTATAATCAATACCTCAATCTTTCTCCATGTAGTATTCTAGACTACTCACTAAACAGCAGCTATTTGTCATATCTATAAACCACAAAGTGAGCTGTCCACATTCTCTCTTGTTATGTCCCTATCCCACGGTAGTGTACACCCAGAACTGGTGAAACATAGAAGGGGTGAAAGTTCAGATGATGAGCAGTACAGCCCATAGTTCTGGTACGACACAGAGCCAACCAGGCACACAGCCTAAACCTAAGATCCAGATCTTTGTAGTAGCCTTCCACCTCAATGACTGACCAGTCACAGACCAAAGGAAGCTTCAAAAAAGCTATAAAGTGCTTACGTAATTTCTCCAAGATCTCCTCATCAGACATTTTAGGCTTCTTCTTCTGCTTTTCAGTATTCCGGGTCAAAGCATCTGGTGGAGCGGTGTTATTCTCAGTAGGTGAAATGGGAGATGTAGCCACATCCCGAGTTGGAGTAACAGGAAGTGGTTCAATCACAGATCGTGTATATACCTGCATAATCAGTGGGAAATTTTGGAAACAAAGCCTTTTGTTAACATAGTGGAACCTTTTCTAAATGTTCTAGTTAGAACATCCCCAGGAACCTCCCCCTTCCCAGCTCAGTCTTTCTCTTATATGTCAAAATCTGTATTATTTATTCTTCCTCTGAGCCCCAGCCCATTTGCCTTGGGTAAAATGACCTTCCTTGCTCTCACAGTACAAGAAGTGACGGCCTTAGCGCCAAAATCACTCCAAAAGGCCTAGACAACTCTCAGTAAAAATTCGCAGGAGATTCTATCATTAGATGTAAACCTCCCTCACCCATGATACTCTGTTTTTCTAAGATGAAATGAACTCTTTCGTGTAGCCCTTGAATACTTTCCAACATTATTTTCTATGGAGTTAATGAGCTATTGAGCTCTTACTAAGAACTCTTATGCTTCAAGAGGCAATAGGGTATAGTAATTTAAAACAAACTTGGGAACTTGACAGCCTGGGCTTAAATCTCAGCTCTCATTACTACCTGAATGACTTCAGTCAGGTTATTTCACTTCTCTGTGCTTCAATTTCCTTGTCTATAAAATGGTGATAATACCTACCTTATTCAGCAACAGATCAACATGTGTGAATGAACAGAGCCATGCACAGCAGATAGTAAGCATTTAAACTTTAGCTTTTAAAGACAATGTTTTTTCTGTTCACTAGTTTAACAAATATTTGCTGAGAATCTATGGTAAGCCTAGCTCTGTACAAAACACTGCCCTACTCATTCTGAAGAAGGAAATGAGAAAGTAATTGCTACAAAAGCAGAAGAGAGAAATGCTATCAAGAAAGGAGCCACTACATACTACTAAGGTTAAGAAGAAAGTACCCCCAGGTTATACTGCCTTTTCCAGGAGATGCTCTCAGGTTTATCAGATTTTTATCATTAAAGAAATCCTAATTATTTTTTGATCATCTATAGAGTCTATCGAGATAGAGAACATACAGTATTCCTCCTTGAGTCCTCTAACTGACTACTTAACTAGTAAAAAACAAGCATTCAGAAAGTGTTTCTACAGAATCAAGTAATAAATGGATCAGCTCTTTCAATTAGACTGACTTTCTGACTACTCTAGTAAAATAATTCCTCCATTTTTCTCTTGTACCTGTAGAACAATTATATCCCAGGTATATAAACCTTAAACCTTCTCTGCTTCTCTCTCTATGGTTCGTTGAGAAAGATATCCTATCTGTTCCCTGTATAACATTATCCTTAACTGGCTCCCAGTGTAGGTCTATACACACAAAATGTGGTATGTGTGCCACTGTGGAATGTAATCTGGACTTGGTTTAATTATCTGCTTTCAAACCCTGGCTTTTGCTTACTAAGTGACTGTGGCTAAATCAATTTACCTCACCATATCCCACCTGGTTCTTCTATAAATTAGCAATATACTTTTCAGAGAAGAATGTTAAGAAAAGCAAATTTATCAATCTATTCTTTCATTCAATATTTACTGCCTTCTCTATGATCCCTGTGCCAAAAACTATATTAGGCACTAAAAAGATAGATAACATGATAGACAGACAGACAGACAGATGTCCTCTACTTTAGAGGCATTATAGGTTTAGAGAGAAAACAGTTTAAAATAAATATGCCTGCAAACCACAAACAGGACATATCAATGGGAAAATACTGACAGCTCACTGATTTAGGCTACTTCCTTAAGGTAAATTTGTGACCTATAGACAAGGAAACCCAACAGATTCTATTTGTAAGTTCTTAGGCTAAGAGGTAGGTCATCTAATTGAATTTCCTCCACAGCATCTTCCATTAGTCATTCAATCAACACAGAGCTTAAGTCCTAGATGGTTCTTTCATTATGGAGTTCTCCTCATAATAAAAAGCTGAAACAAACATTAGTAGAGTGTTTCAGAGTATCATCTGATGGGAAATCACTGCTCAATGATACTAAATCAAATAAAAGGCAAAAGTACAGACTCTGCAAAGTGCAGGAGGAGAGACTGTGGCTATTCTGAAATGCAGGAACCTCAAAGGAAGTTAAATGAGAAATCACTACCAATATCCGGCATCAAAATGCACTCCTAATGTCCAGCATATTAATAGCACTAATGTATTTATAAACTCCCTTGGGTCTTTCAGCATCATCAAAGATGCTGGAGAGGCTGAACACTGCATATTTAACACAAAAGAAAAAAATCTTTGTCAGATAATTTGCTGCTTTCTATGTAATTCTGGAAGTAAAATGTGTCAATTCTATATACCTTCCTGTCATATCTGTAAAGAATAAGATAAGTAAACCGAGGTTAGGTTGCTATAAATATCAATTACCTAGGGAATTTTAGGAATAGCTGAAATAACAAATATACTACTTCTCTTTAATCATGTAGAAAATACCTTCAAAACAGGTGGTTCAGTTGGGCACAGTAGCACATGCCTGTAATCTTAGCACTTGGGTGAGTGAGGTAGGAGGAACACTATGAATCAAGGCCAGCCTGGACTACATAGTAAGACCCTGTGTAGCATGAATCTTAAAAGTTCTTATTAATAAAATCAAACCTGAGACCAGTTATTGGGGTGAACACTGGAAGGTCAGAGATGCAGAACAAGCCACAGCTACCTCACCTCGCCAGATCCTCAGCTGGTCTTGTTTCCTCAGACTGGAGACTTCTGAGTCCTCATCCAGAATGGCTCTCAGCTGAACTGCGCTGCTAGAAGCCTGAAAGCTTAACCAGCCAAATGCTTAACCAGGCCAAATGCTTCCAGTTTCTGGTCCTCATGCCTTATAAACCTTTCTGCTTTCTACCACCACTCCCTGGGATTAAAGGCTGCTTTCTGGGATTAAAGGCATGAGTCACCATGCCTGGTTGTTTCCAATGCAGCCTTGAACTCACAGAGATTCAGAGGGATTTCTGTCTCTGGAATGCTAGGATTAAAGGCGTGTGCTAACATTTTCTAGCCTAAGTATCTTGTGGCTTTTCTGTTCTCTGACCCCAGATAAGTTTATTAAGGTACACAATATTTTGGGGAACACAATACCACCACATTTCCTCTCTTTTTGTCTAAAATTAAAAAAGGCTTATAACTAATACAAGAAAAACTATCCAATAAGTATATACAATATATACAGCCAAAAATTACATTAATGATGTCTGGTCCATTAACATTTGACAGATTCAGATAAAAACTCCAATATATATATTATCAATGTCCAGTCCAGTAACATCTGATAAACTCAGACCAAAATTTTTTCATTACTTATCTTATTTAAAACAAGTAGCTCCTTTTTAAAAGTAGATTCCATAAATCCTGTCTCAAAACATGAGAGGAAAAAAAAGTCGTACAATGACTATACCAGCTCCAAAGTCTACGGACCCCTAGATTGGACTCCTGGCCTTAATACCACCATCTCCCCACTCTCTGTCACCCCTTATTTGAATGAATCATATATCCTTCCAGATTACAGGACTCACAGATTTTGTGTGTTCTGGGCGTGGAGCAATCACCGGAGGTGGAGTAGCATCATCATCATCATCTTCATCTTCTGACACTGGTGGCACTGCTGGGGTCTCAGACACAGTCTTCACATTCTATGCAGAAAAGACAAATTTATCTTGTCCAGTAGATATAGAACTTCACATCGCAGGTCTGCTGGTTCTCTAGAAGGAACTCAGTTCTGACTCCCCATATGAAAGCCTCATTGGCCTCAAGACTCTCCACTTCCCTGCAGTCAGCAGTCCTACAGCTTCCTTTTCTTTTAGCCATCACTATCCACCCCCTTGGGTGCTTCCTTTTCTCACCTAAAGCCTAACTGTGGAACAGCATGCCAGCTGACAGCTTCCCTGCCTGCCCCTATAATCAAATACTTGAAGAGAAGTTCAGTTTCTTCTTAGTCTATGAATTTTACTCTTTATAATGAGCAGAAAATAAATGTGGAGAAGAAAGTTTTCATTTTCTATGCTTTATCTTTGTAATTACCTGCTCTTCCTAATGCAGTAACTAGAAGTCTAAATAGCCACCCCCTCCAACTTTCTTCTTTCAAATTCCTGACCCTGTTATGTCATACAGTGTGAATGTGGGAGGCCCAGCCTCAATAAGGTACATCGGGATCTTTCATTCTAAAAAGGACAATGAGTTCCTTGACAGACTGGATGCTCTCTTTATCACTGAGCCTCCTGTCCCAGAATGAACTCCACTAGTACTACTAACTAGATTTGCTAATGATCTGTAGCAACTTGATTTTCCCATGCAAACTGAAATAGAGCTAGACAAAAATACCAGATTCAAGATAAGTGGATCTAAAACACAAGTTGTTGTTTTGTTGTTATTGCTGGTTTTAATATTAGGACCAGAAAGGCAACAGGAATTGTCAGATATACTGACATAAATAATTTCAGACATTTTCAGAGTCCCTAGAATACTGTGATGGATTCCGTTAAAATCAAAGGCATAAAATTTATGTGTAACTGGCCGGGCGTTGGTGGCGCACACCTTTAATCCCAGCACTCGGGAGGCAGAGGCAGGTGGATCTCTGTGAGTCCGAGGACAGCCTGGTGTACAAAGCAAGTTCCGGGAAAGGCGCAAAGCTACACAGAGAAACCCTGTCTTGAAAAACCATTAAAAAAAAAAAATTATGTGTAACTGCTCTTTAATCTTTGTTGATTACACTTTTAAATTTTAAGAATTCTTTTAGCCTTTGATTACTCCAACAACAATATATTTATGGCAGGTCTGATAAAATGTGAATTACAGAGAAATGGGTTTTGCTGTTGTTGTTTTGGTGGGTTTTTTGTTTTTGTTTTTTCCTAGACAGGGTTTCTCTGTGTAGCTTTGGTGCCTGTCCTGGATCTTGCTCTATAGCCCAGGCTGACCTCGAACTCACAGAGATCCACCTGGCTCTGCCTCCTGAGTCCTGGGATTAAAGGCGTGCACCACCACTGCCTGGCTCAAAGAAATGGTTTTACTGGCAAGTTTTTCTTTAGGATATTCAGGTGTGTGTGTGTGTGTGTGTGTGTGTAAAAGCATATGAGGTAGAAGTTCTTCTCCTGAGTATTATAAGAAACCTACTATTGGGACGCAGGAATTTAAAATATTTTCTTCACAGGGAGGAACTCATCATGCCTGGCACTGTAAACCTGGTCACAAGTCCCATGGTTCAGAAGGTCACAGACCATAGCAGGCTACTACCATTGTTTTGCTAAATGGACATGTTGTCAAACTGCTTCCTAAATATTTATGTGCATACTCATGGATTAGTATTACTCTTGACCATGACCAGAGACGCTTCTCTCTGCAGTGGGTAACAGTTAATGCAGAGACTCATAACTGGTCAGAGTGCTTAGCCCTAAATGGGACATCTACATCAACCTTCTACACTACCCAAGGCTCAAGGAACATGGCAGAGAGAGGAGGTAGAAAGAATGTAATAGCCAGAGGATGGGAAGGAATGCTGGGAAATGCTGTCTTCTTAATATGACACGGCACCTGCATTCCTGAGCTCACTGCAGCTCTAGTTACCAACACAAGATCTGCACAAGATAAAGCCAACAAGATCCATCAAACACCCCACCAAGCAGCACTAATGGCTCTTAGTGGATTGAAAAAAAAAAAAATGAAAAGATATAAAAATGGGAAGTGGACCTGTTGGGAGGTATCGGGGTGGCACTAGGAAGGAGGAACTGAGGGTGAGTATAGTCATGACATTGTATACAAAATGCAATTGTCAATAAATAAATAAAATATATTTAATAAAGTAACAAGTATTTTCACCAATTGTCGAGCTATGTTCCTCTTCACATCCGTGGTAGCAATCTTCTGACTAGGATTTTGTGTTCTCTCTTAGGTTCCCTAGTCACAGCAGTTTTTCTTAAGTTAAATGTCTGCTTTTTTTAGAAAATACCTAATTTTAACCTAGACACCAAGGTAAGAGGGAAGCTACCCTTGTTTACTTTTTAAAATGACCCAGGACTATCCCCTCACCCCCTCACCCCACACTTCCCCCTAAAGCTCCTTTTTCTCTTCCTAGGGGTTCCCTCTTAATCCCTAACTAGGCCTGTGGAACTAAGGCTGGCTTGAGCTTTGCTCTTCTTGCCTCATCTCTGTCCTGGGATTTCAGGCAAGTGTCATGCACCTGGCTTCCAATTACTTGAAGCTGTGGCTGCTTCTGATCTCCTCCTAACAGGCTTTGCATCTTTTATGAATTTTTACAGTGGCTAAGTTATGACCTGCTTTTTGTTTTGGAATACTGTTCCTTTTCAAATATATCTTCGGGCTAACAAGAGGTGAGAACATGAATTCAGTTCTTTTTTTTTTAGTTAAATTCAGTTCATCCCCCCCCCCCCCCACGCCAAGCTTATTTTGGAGAAATATTTCTAAGATATGGCTTAGACTAAAATGCACATCCAACTATACATATCTTTTATTTAAAGTAGTTACTTAATTCTAGCACAAACTCAAATTTCTCTTGCTTTATATACTGGACCTTTGATAAACCCTTAATAAACGGGCTTTTGTTACACTATCCCTCAGACAGGAAAGCACTGCCCATTTCTTATTACCTAGGTTTAGCTGGCATTATGTTATAAATCCTTTTTGTATGTTCTGATTTATCACTAACTTGTGAGACTAAGAGCAAAGCCCTTCCTTACCAGCTCTTAACTTCTCAGCACTCAAAGAATCTATCACACAATACATATTCTCTTGTTTAAGATGGGGTCAGGCTATGTAGCCCACACTAGCTTGGAACTTATGACCCTCCTGCTTCATCCTCCTGAATAAGATTATAGATTTGCACCACCACACCTGGCTGGTATGAATTCTATAAATAAGAATCAGTCATAAATATATTTTATGATAAATATAACATAACATCTTGATACGAATGTTTCAAGCTGAAAGAGATCTACAAGACCATGTTTGTTAAAGGAGCAAACCTTTAGAACCTAGCGTGTACACTTCCCTATCAGAAAGAACACATCACAAATCAAACATGACCACAAAGCACAGTATTCTTGTAATCCTTTCCTTTGGCTCATATCTCCTCCTTAGTTTGCCATTAAGATTTTTCTCAAGGTCTAGCATGGTTCACATTCATTTTTGTGTTGCCTGTGCTTTGGCGCAAAGAAAATGCTGAGGAAATACTTATGAAATGAGTAAATGCATGAGTGTTCAGGAGAATGGAATTTTTTTTTACTGACTTATACTACTAACTCAACAGTAGGAAGGAATTCATAATCGTTCTGTGCCACATTTTCTTAAACTATAACATGAAGAGTAATTCTGCTTATTTCATAAATGAAATGAAACAATGTGTACAAAACCAATATAGAAATCAATATGCTACCATGATAAAATCATATCCTCAACTAATGTGCAACTAATAAGGAAATATAGAACAGCACGTTAGTAGAGGAAATGCTCTAAATTACAGGGAAATGCCCTTGACAGTCTGAGTGGTTCTAATTGTAGATACTAAACCAAGCAGGTGTTATCCTCTCAGCCATATGGCACGAGCCACAGGGCTCTTCTCCCATACTAATAACATGGCTGCTGCTTTACTGTAGTCACCTTTATAAGACCTTCTTATGTCTTTCTCTGTTCCCTGACACAGAAAAAAAAAAAAAAAAAAAAAAAAAAAAAAGAGGCCTGGAGTGGTGAGATTCAAGGGTTCTAGTTTTTCTTTCTTTTATCTTCTATTTTTATTTCTTATTTTTTGTTTTTTGTTTTTTTTTAAGACAAGGTTTCTCTGCGTAGCCTTGGCTGTCCTGAAACTCACTCTGAATCCAGGCTGTCCTGGAACTCACAGTGATCTGTCCACCTCTGCCTCCCAAGTGCTGGGATTAAAGTGCACCACTACCTTGGATTCTAGTTCTTATATAGTTTTATACGTTTGTTTGTTTTTTGACACAGGGTCTCATGTCACCTAGGCCAGTCTAATTACCATGTAGCCAAGGATAACCCTGAACTTCTGGTCCTCCTGCCTCTACCTCTCAAGTGCTGGGATTATAAGCTTATACCACAACTTGTTTCTAATATGGTTCTTTTTAAAGAGTCTTCAGGAAGGTTTGTTTTTCTGCCCAGGAAATGAGGACAACAGTACCTCCTTCCCATGGTAATTGTGAGGATTAATTATGCTAAAGAGGAGGATTTTAACACAGTGTCTGGCACAGAGTAGCCACTCAATAATAGATAACAGCCACTCTTCTTACAAAAGCATAAAGACATTTGACCCATGGTTACAGTTCCACTTTGTTTAGGTCCTTTCTTCAATAATTTACTGATCAATAATTCATTTGCAAATACTTTTCCTGTCTTTTAATCATATCTCTTCCATTTGATGCAAAGCAGCATGGACGAGAGGAAAGCAGGGCAAAGTAGGAATCAAATGTGTATCACAACGAACCTTTCTCTGTTTCAGTTTTATCAACTGTAAAGCAAGGATTATAATCTGCTTCATTACACTGCTGTGAAAAATAAAAGAGACAGTGAATAAGAAAGGACCCAACACACTGCCAAGCACCAAGCTGGCAAACTCTTCTATTTATAATTGCCAACAGTATAAATGACTCTGACTGCTGGCAGCAAGGTTTGACAGTGGCTCAGTACTGGGTTATATATTATTATTCTCCTCTTTAAAATTCTTTAAGCTTTTCTTTACCTTTTACACAAAGCCAAACTCCTACATGACTTGGCCTATTTTACCATGCCTCCTCACCGCCAACCTCTCTTCCGGCACATTTTTACATTCCAGACATATCAAACTACTAGCAGTTCCCAGAATACACATACCTTGTGAACCTCTTTCTCTGTGCATGTAATTTTCTGTCTGAAATATCTTCATCTCTCTAATCCTCACTCTAAATAACTCATTCAGCATAGACTTCAGCATTGAGATGCTTTCACCGACACATCCGATCTTACATTCAATAAATGTTTAGCAAATGTCAGAATTTGCTGAGTACCAAAGACAAAGCAATTAATAAGACAGACATAGCTTCTGACCTCATGAGGTTTATAGCATATTGAACTGTAACTGCATGTGCCTTCATATCCTCTATAAGACTAGGAGGTGTAAGTCTAGGACAATGTCTGACTGCTCCACACATGACCTGGCAGAGAATAGAGGCTTCTGTAAATGTTTAATAAATCGATATGGCATGAGCACCTTTGTTTTATTTTCTGCAGTTCTGGGGATTGAATCTACAGCCTCTCACATGATAAGCAAGTACTCTACCATTCATCTATATCCCCAGCCATCTTTTAAGTTTTTTCTTTGAAATAGCGTTTCTGTAAGTAGCTCAGACAGGCCTTGAACTCATTCTACAGCCCACGCTGGACTTAAACTTTCAATTCTTCTGCCTCAGTCTGTCAAGTAGCTGGGATTAAAAGGCTTGGCCACCAACCCTGGCTATAAACAGTTTTCTATAAGAGATAACACTCCGTATAAAGAATAGTATTCTCTTATATGTCTCACAGCTTATTATTTATATGATCAAATATTATTAGTCTTTATATGACAAAGATATCAGCATTTCATTTTTTAATTCATAACTGCCATGAAAAATTCAACTTTTAAAATGAGGGACATAGAGGTACTTTTTAAGGTCATCTAGGTATACTTCCCAGCCAATTCTTCAGTGATTCCTTTCACAATCCTTTAAGTTATAGAACACCACTACAACCTCAGAGGGGAGAATGATGCACTTAAATAAATAGAATCTGTTCCCTCCAGTTAGTAGGCCCTACTGATAAAAGAGAAGAGATCCTTTTCAAAACACATCCAGTTAAGGAAAAAATATATCATTCTCATTTTATTGTTGAAAAATCTGAACCACAGAAAGGCAAGCTGGGTTTCCCAATGTTCAATCCTGCAAATGAAACAGCCTAAAAGCTACATCTTCTGGTTTCAAGGTTAGAATTTCTATAACACTGTAAAGCTGGAAGAGCTATACTGTCAAATAGGGACAACACTGTTCATCATTCCAGTTCCTTTACTGTAGAAAGAGAATCTAAGTCATGGCAGTGACTAAGATGAGTGTCTCCAAGGCCAGGCTCTGTCTCTACCACACTATCTTGAACCTCACTTCCATACCCACTTATGGCAGAATGGAGGAAACACAAACTTACCAAAGTGTTAGAAGAATTATAATCTTCAGCTGACTTATCTGTACAAAGAAGAGAGACAAGAGACTTAGTAAACAAGTATAGTTAATCCTTTTCTGAGTGCTAAGGAAATGATCTGGCCAAGCACTTGCCAGGTCCAGAGAATGGTAATAGTGTATCTTGTCCTGTGAGCAGAAGCCATGGCAAGCATATATACCTAACAGGTCTCCTTTAACCTTCACTATGGCTCTGGGTATTATTATTATATTCACTTTAATAGACTTTATAATTGAGAGAAGTTAAGTAATTTGCCCAGTGTACACACAGGTTAAACAGATGATTCAAACCTGAATTCTGATCTAATCTAAATACCATGCTCTACTAGTATTCACATCATGCGTTTTCAATGGCCAAGAAACTGTCCTACAGTCTGAGATAAAGGCAAGGAATCCATGCTATGTTCCTGAGTCATTCACATAAAATCATGACCAATCTACAGCTTCAGCTTTCAGAAAGGATCTTTCAGAGGCTAGGAACCAGCTCAGTCAGTAAGGTGTTTGCTGTGCAAATGCAAGGATGTAAACAAACAAAACTGAGTGTGACGATACATGATTATAATCCTAGTACTGGAGAAACAGAGACTGATAGGTCCCCGGCCAATCTACTAGATGAATTCCAGGTCAGTGAGAGACCTTGTCTCAAAAACACAGAGAGAGTGCCTGAAGAATGATATCCAAGGTTGTCCTCTGCACAAGTACATTTGTGTAATATAGGATCAGCATTCATTCATTCAAGACATTTCACAGTCTGATGGACTTTGAGTGGTATATAAAACAACTGTCATCTTATAACCAATAATATCTCAGACTTGATGAAATAGAGACCCGTAAGAAATTTTAACAAAAAGAAAAGAAGAAATATAAAGACCAGGGTTGTCTTTGATTTGTTTCTTTAAATCCTAAGAATTTACTTGCCAGTTCATCACCAATGGGATCAGGAAAATATTCTAACAAATCTGACATATTTGTCATCAAGAACCCAGACCAAAGAACACCCAAGATGCCAATTCCATCACATAAAAACGGCCCAGTAAGGCTCTTTGTCTCTACAGCAAATAAAGAATCCATAAAGTAGAAAGTAAAGCAATCTATGACAATATGTTCTTAAAGCAAACCTTGTTCGCTGGAGAGACTGCTCAGCAGTTAAAAGTATTTCTACTCCTGCTGATGACCCAGGTTTAGTTCCCAGTACCCCAAGGTGGTTCACAATCAGCTTTAACTCCAGTTCCAGGGGATCTGGACTTCTAGCCTCTCCAGGCACCACACATGAATATGGTGTACAAACATACAGCAAAACTCACACACATAAAATAAAATTTTATCTATAAACATAACAAAAACAGTAACAAAAAACCTAAATGGCTAAACTCTAGAGAAATCAATCCAAGGCATAATTTAAACAATTTGCTTTGCTGTTCCAGAAAACAAAATGGTATCAGCCGAGCAGAACAAAACTAGACCTTACTGTACTTCCTCCAACCTTAAACACTCCTAGCTCTTTTGAGATCTAGGAATATGGTTATAAAATGCCTCTGATACCATGTAAAAACAAGTAACTGGGTTGGCCTGATGGTTCAGCAGGTAAAGACACTTGTCACTCAAACCTGATGACCTGAGTTCAATTCATAGAACCCACATGGTAGGAGAGAATGAATTATAAGTTAGCCTCTGATCACACTCGTGCTAAGGCACGCAAACTAAGGCACGCAAACCTGTACGCATGCACACATATGAATGAATAATATTTTAAGTAAACATTTCTCCTTTTAAAAAATCTGTACAGGCTCCAAAGCTACACAAAGAAACCCTGTCTTGAAAAAACAAACCAACAAACAGAAAGACTCTGTATAATTTCTATAGATCAAAATTGAAGTTTAAAGCACAGAATGAAAAGAATAGAAAGTATTTCCAAACCCTTTACTTTACAAATGAAGGAACTATAGTTCAAAAACACAAAGATACTGGTTCAAGGTCATATAAGTTTGTGTCAAAGTAGAGCTAAACCTTGGGTGGGATATCAATTTAGTCTACTTTCTCTCTAACATTAACTGGTTATAGAAAATCAAATGTCACAGAAAACTTAACCAAAATAATAAAAGGGACTAGAGAGTTGTGCGGATTATTGAGAGCAGAGTGTTTAGAGGAATAATTTAAAAGCACATTTCCAAAGCACTCAAGAGGTAGAGGCAGGGGAATCTCTCTGAGGTTGAGGTCAGCAATGACTATATAATGAGACCCTGTCTCAAAAAAAAGTTAACTAAAATAAAAATAAGAAACATATCACTTGCATCATAATGAGCAAGTTGTAATTTCTTTAAAGCTAATTAACTTGAGTCTATAAAATGGGGTTAATAAGTCTTTGCCCTGACAATCCCTATATGCCACATAAGAATCATAGGAGATAAGTTACAGGAGAGCATACACAAATTGATATGGTATCAGCTTAATTAACAATATGGGAGAAGAGGAAACAGAAAAAAGGAACAGATCATATTAAAAATAAACTGTGTCAAATATAAAATTTTGCCTAGAGTTAACCCTTGTCATTAACAAGCAGAAAATTTAAAATCCTACATGAGTGCACTTACACGTGTCTATGGTAATGCACAAAAGTAAAAGTATGTACATTTATCTGTGGAATACAGTAACTATAATTTAAATATGCATGCATAGATGACTGTATATGAAATTACATGAATGTGTACAGCTATACACATATTCACTTGTAAATATTTAAAGGGACTATAATTTCAACCATATACAAGTCCACAGCGGCAATGATTCATATGCATACATGCAGCTTCCTTATGTCTATATACAAGGACATAGAAAACAGCTTCCAACATGGTATCTCTGTAATAAACTCCTTAAACATAAGTTCTAATTTCCTGACTACTCAGCAACCTCTCACCCCAGTTCCTCCTCGGAATGATCTAATCCTTCAATGGAAGAAGACAGACAGACCCAGTGGGGACATATGAGAGAAGGAAATGCTGCTGGGAAGACGCATGGCTTCTCCTGAGTACCACTGTGGCAGCATGAGTGAAGCTGCAGTCCATCATCCAACCATCTGTACCCTTTGATATGAGCCAGACACTAGCTGGGGAAATCGTCCTTCAAAGTCAGCTAGTTCATCCTGACTCTTACCTTCTCCAACAATTCTGCTTTTGAAGGAGGCTGCAGAAACAAAGAGCACCAGACTAAGAAGTAAGAGACTAGGCCTGGCACTAATTTAGGCACACTACAAAGACCTTCTCTGTGTTTCATATCTGCAAACAGTGAGGAATTGGTATATATATATATATATATATATATATATATATATATATATAGTCTAATGTTCTATTTTCCCCCTTGTTTTTGTTGTGTTGTTTTTATGGTTTATTTGATTTTTGAGACAAAGTTGCCACATAGCCAAGGTTGGCCTTGAACTTGCTAAGTTGCAAAGAATGACATTTAACTCCTAATCCTCCTGTATCACATCTACCTGGGATTACAAAATGCATCACAATGCCCAGCTTTGCTTTCAGCGCTCTTAAGATGCTAGAAAGAAGACAAGAAGTTTTGAGGATTGGAGAGATGGCTCAGTGGTTAAGGGCACTTGACTGTTCTTCCAGAGGTCCTGAGTTCAATTCCCAGCTACCACATGGTGGCTCACAAGCATCCATAATAGGATCTGACTGCCTCATCTTATATGCATGAAGACAGATCACACAAATACATGAATAAATAAATAAATCTTTAAAAGAGAAGAAGACAAGTTTCCAGAAATACAAGCTTTTTATAAGTTAGCCTAGAAAAAGAAAAATATCTCTGCTATGGAAGGGCATACTCGAAATAAAATTACTAGAGGCAACTAGTAATTCAAAAGACGTGGGGCTAGGAGTAAGAAAATCTGGGTTCTAATCCCAATTCCACCACTAAAAACATCTAAAAAACATAATCCCTTACACAGAAAGTACATATAAAGAACATTTATAATTACTACTGACCTGATTTCCATTCAAATGATAGAATTTAGTCCCTTATGCAGGATATGATGGCTCATATCTGTAATCCCAACACTCTGAAGGCTGATGCTAAAGGATTACCATGAGTTCTAAGCCCAAACCAGCCTGAACTAGCTCAAAAGTTTCTTAAAGAAGAAACTGGGCTTACAACTTAAAAGATATTCATTAATGTTATTAAGTAATGATATCAGAAATAATGACAATGACAACTAAATGCCTATGCTTTATAACTATAAAGAAGTCTATGTTCCTTTTATATAATTCCCTGCTTTTTTAAAACTAACATATACAGGGTCTGGTGAGATAACTTTGTGGGGAAAGACACTTGCCACCAAGTCTGACGACCTGTGTTCAAACTCAAGAACTCACACAGTGTAAAGAGAGAGCTGACTCCTGAAAGTTCTTTTGATCTCCATATGCTCACCATGGCATACATGCCCCCACCCCACACAAAATACATACTGTAAAAATAACATATGTAACTTCAGAAAAAAAAAACAAAAAACAAAAAAACAAAGAAGTTGTGGTGGTTTGATTAGGTATGGCCCCTATAGACTAATGTGTTTGAATGCTTGGCCATTGGGAGCAGCACTATTAGGAGGTGTGGCCTTGTTGTAGGTGTGGTCTTGTTGGAAGGAAGTGTGCTTCCACTGTGGGAGCCGGCTCTGAGGTCTCCTATGCTCAAGCTATGCCCAATGTGACACAGTCTCCTTCTGCTACCTGTGGATCAAGATGTAGAACTCTCAGCTCCTACTCCAGCATCATGTCTGCCTGCACACCACTAAGTCACACCATCATGATAATGGACTAAACCTTTAAAATTGTAAGCAAGCCCAAATTAAATGTTTTTCCTTTATAAGAGTTGTTGTGGTCACGGTGTCTCTTCACAGCAATAAAACAACTAAGACAGAAGTCTTCATCTCAGTTGTCATTTCCAAACACATCATACTGTTGGCACTTTCTTTTTTATTACTAACTAACATGCATATGGGAGCTTCTCTTGCTGTCATCACCATGGACACAATCTTCATACCTGTAAAACTCATGTACTTCTGACTATTGGAGGTCTTCTTAGAGTTATAAAATTCCAACACATCCAGAACAGCCTGTGGGTTTTTCTTCTGCTCTGACTTGGTGATATTTGATGTTTGAAGCAAGCGGGCCCACTGTTCTGGCATCCCCTAAGAAAAAGACATTAAAAGTTTTCAGGAAGACGTGGATACTGGGACCTTGAAAGAATATCATATCAAACCTCGATGTCTGCTAGCAGATAAAAATAAGCCTATTAGTTATCCCTTTCCCTAGTCCCTCAAGATTTACACAAGCTCCTTTTATGTATCTTCCTTAAGAGGTCGACTCCATTACCAGGCTTTACCTCCTTCAGAGCAGGGACCAAGTCTGATTTACTCCTGCATTTAGTGCCCCACCTAGAGCTTGCTGTCATGGGGCCTCTTAAGAGAGATCTGTTTGGGTTGGTTGATGTAGCTCAGTGGTAAAGCCTTTACACAGCATGTGCAGGGCCTTGTTTTCAATCCCAAATACTGCAAACAAACAACAAACCAAGAAAATTAAAAGAGAAATTTGAGATTAGGAAAGTGTTCTTGAAAAGTCTCTAGCAGAGAAAGAAGCTTTAGGAAGACAAGAAAGGACTGAACCACTAGCATACAGCCCAAACTCTCAGACTGACACAAGGACTTACCGTAAACTCCCCTGTGACAGCATCAAAACCAACATGAATGGTATGCTCAAAATCTGAAGGAAGAGAAATCTCTGGCCGCTCCTTCTCCTTCTTTTTATTTGCTACAAAATAAAATTTAAAAAAGAGGGATATTATTCAGTTTCTAGGCTTATTTTAGCTTTTCAGTAAGTGCCTGTGAAGTTCTATATAGTATGCATATATATTTAAAGAGCCCAAAAGGCTATAAAGTGAGGAGATGGTAAAAGATCTAGAATCCATGTCATTTTTGCCTCTTCCTCACCAAAATATATAGTTCTGGATCTTTGCTTTCTCATCGAAATGATGAGATGGACAAGATGATCTTAAGGGCCCATCTAGCCTCTATATTTCACAATAGTCTATGTAACAAGGAAGATAAGTACTCTCAAAGCACTGTAACTAGACTATTTTAATAGGTATTTCATATATATTATCTCGCATAATTACAAGCCTGAGAGTCAACTTTCATTTGTAGACTAGGAGATTGTGGCACAGATCTGCCTAGTCTAGTCATTATGCAAGTGAAATAAAAGCCAAGGTCCTTTACATTCTTCTACTCTACTACTGCTGAAGAACTGCAAATTGATTTAAGAAAATGTACTCGGATACAATGAGAAATAACATCAAGAACTTACCATGTATATACACTATACATAGTTTTCCTTTATTGTTACAATTTTATAAGCTAACTACTACTACTACCTGCTTATAGATCAGAACACAGAGTAATTTATCAATATAACTAACAAGGGGTGGGATTTGAACCAAGGTCTGTCCTAAAGATTGTTTTCTTCAGTAACTTCATAAGAACCTCTTGTCTACATGCCAGTTGCTAAGGGTTAGACTATTTATATACTTGGCAATTTCCCTTCCAGAGCAGCTGCTTTGAGAAGGAGAAGGCTAAGGGTTATACCACGGCCCTGAATGAACAGTCACTTATGACATAATTGCATTTGTCTACTCAAAGCTAGAATGTATAGGACATGTGGCAGGGCTTTGGAAGTGCTTTGTGTCAAATGGCTTTCTGTTTCTAATTTCCTTCTAAGATAATCTCTTAAAAGGTTTTAGAGAAATACAATTATATTGTTTTATTTAGATTTGAACATGTAATATTTATACATATTATGATTTATAAATTATTTCCACTGTATATTAATAAAGTATATAACATCACAGACATGGCTGTTAAGTCCAGAAGGAATTATGGTTAGTAAGGATCCAGAGGAAGGGTAGCTCGCAGAACAAGTAGTTTATAGAAAAGAGTGCCAGAGAAATGAAACCGTGTAACTCATACGGAGGGCAGGGTTAATTCTGAAATTAGCTCTACCTCGGCCAGCCACTCTCTTCTCTACCTACAGCCTCTGAATACACCTCACAAGCTCCCACCCCCTACTTGTTGCTCACTTTTTCTTCTACAGTAAGTAGAGAGGTGGAGTTTGTGGCCTTGGGCTGTTGGACCCCCAGGAGCATAGATTTTCTTATCTGCTGTTTTGTTCCTCAATCCCAAAATCATAGTATATGTCTAGTAAGAGATTATCAGAGTTGGTTGGCTTTCTGGTAGGTGTAAAGCAGGAAAAATCCTGAGCACACTGTTGACTCCCCTAGGCCTCTGTTTATTCTGTTTGTTTCTGGAATGTCCTGCCCTGTCTCTACTTAGCTAGTAGCTACATAATACAGCTATAAAATATTGGATTCCTCTCCTCTGGAATTAAAAACAAAATGAGGGTGGTTCCCATCAACACAGTAATGAAGGTATCAGACAGTACAATTTAGTAATAAAAAAGATGAAAAGAAGAATAAGAAAAAAAAGAAAGAAAGAAACCCAGGAGAATTTAATTTTCTTACTATTATGTGAATCAATTAAAATATATGGTTTTATAAAGAACCTTAAAAACATGAGTTATCATTAATACTAGCAACTACCAAAGTAAGATTTCTCAATAAGATGATCAAGATAGAGAATTTAAATATGACTAAAGACAGAAAGAACACCGACCTACCTTGATTTCATGTAAGTAGAGATCTTAGGTTTGAGGAAATAACGTAGAAAAAGAGCTTATAACCTCACCCATCCTGCTATCTCTGGTTTAGTCCAACCTGGGCTTAGGAAAGCAGCTGATCACAAAATTCCATGTTTTACCACAGACATTAAAGTTTTAGCAAGGGTCATTAGATCTATTTTTAAATTATTTTTAAACAGCACCTCTCATTGGCTCAACTGAACTAATCTGAGCAAAAGGCAGTAAAACATTCCAAACTTAAGAAAGACAAACACTGATGTAGTTAACTTTACTAACCTCTTCCCAAGCTCAGAGAATTTCACTTTGTTCATAAAAATGCAGCCAGAAAGAGATTTCAAACTAAATGCCATAAGACTTCTTAGAATAAACCAAAGGCTCCAAATCCTAACCACAGGAACCAGGCTTTCCCACATGGAATCCTGCAACTCAGCACTACCTATTACAAGCCTTCAATTATAGCTTCTCCTTCCAATCATTTATGCATCCATCAAGTGCAAACTGAGGCCATCCTGGAGGTCAGCATTAGGTAATGCCCACAGACACCACCCACTGCCAGCTCTAATCTAAACCACTACTGTAATGTAAAGAACATTTCATTCTTGTTTCCCTGAGAGACACAACACTGCATCTCTAGAAATTCTGCCTCCAACATCTGGGTAGGAGCAGATAGACATTTCTTAGAAGCACCATGTATGAATCCAATACGCAATCAGTGTTGAGACAACTAACAGTAGTATGATGCAACAGACACTTTGGAAGACTTTAGTTCTATACATATTCCTCTCACTTTCCACCAATGAAAGCTTGGTCACTGTTTACTATTCTTTAGGGTTCAGCTTCCTTATTGGAAATAAGTTGTGGGTATTGGATATGGGCATCAACCAAAAGAATGAATGAGATTTCATTAAAATAAGTTAACCTCTTATCTGTATGGTTTTATAGTTTAGAAAATACTTTTACAGTCATGACATAGAGTAGTATACAAGTGCTTATTATGGACATAAGATGAGCATGAATTATGTTACTCCCATTTTGCAGATGACTCTATAATTAAGATATTTAAAATAATAAATGATAGAGTTATGTGGGAGCAGACCTCAATACAGGTTATTGGGAGTTCATTTCTAGAATAGTTCTCTATGTAGCTTGTATCAATTTTCAAATGCTATATGAAGGCAGAGCATGGCAAAGACTGCCAGCACTGTCACAGACCCTGCAGTTGAGTAATAGATTGCTAACTGAACTAACATTCCAAACTAAACAGAAGAAACTCGGCCATTTTTTCATCTTAATGTATATATTAATAACAGCCAACAAGGGTCTTAAAGCAGGAGCTAAACCAATGTGCTAAGGGAATCTACAGAAAACCCGTAGCTAGAAAATAAAATGCAGGCTATTCAGTCATCGTTCAAGAACTTCTTGTAACTGCTTTCAACTGACAAAGATGCAGACTTGATCTTGAGGATAAGATTTATTTTCAGACCAAATTTGGCCTAAGGGTACTCAGTCAGATTTCCAGAAGAACCTCCAGGTCTACAGCTCTAACACCAATAAAAATAGTTCACAATGGCCTGGTTTCTTCCTACCTACATAGACAAGCCTGATCCAATGGCATTTTGCAATATCTCATCTATATAAATATAGAGTTGCAGAGCTAAAAGAAACTGGCTCTGGCTCTCTCATTTTTTACATGGAAGCACTGACATCTACAGAGAAGTCACTGACATAAATTTGACAGGCAGCTTGTGGAAGAAGCAAGACTACAACCGAGGTATCTAGATTCTTGGCACATAAAACTACTCCTTCAGTTGCGATGATGTATGAAGGTGCTGCTTTTATCCTGTTGTTCTAGACGGGAATCTTCTTTAAAAACAAACAAAATGGGCTGGGGTGGCAGTTCAGTGGGTAAGAGTGCTGGCTATGTAAGAATGCGGATATGAGTTAAAATCCCTAGAACCCATGTCAAAAGCAAGGTATGCCCATGTGCATCTGTAATCCCATCATTGTTAGGGGGACAGAAACAGATGATTGCTGGGGCTTGCTAACTGCCTGCCTAGCTCCAAGTTCAGCAAGAGAACCTTTCTTAAAGGGAATAAGGTGGAATGTGACTGATTAGGATGCCCTCCTCTATGAGACAGGTGCATGAGCATACTATCCACACATGCATATACAACACACACACTACATGTACGCCACACACATGCACCAGCTCTACTGATACATAAGCAATCTGCGAAAAAGAAAATTCCAAAGATATTTCAAAAGTCCTTAGGTTTTATGATTTCATAAACATTTTAAAAAGTTAAAAAGAAAAGAAATAGATACATACAAATGTCTACAATTTGTCTGATAACTGGCAAGAACAAAATTATTCTTAGAATTTTGTTCAAATATAATACTAAACAATAAATCAAATTTTCATTTGGCTTTAGCCACTTTAGGAAGGCAAGACTTGGGGAATAGTTAACAAGAAAATAAAAGGTACTGACAGAGAATTAAGTCAGGGAAGGCCAGATCTTTCATCAAGACTATTAGGAGGGGAAAAGATGCTCTGCTTTGTCTTTTCTTCTTAAAGCACAAAAATTATGAAAGTAAATTAGGTACTGTACTTTTATCTCCAGGTAAGATGGATCGGTAAAATCGGTCCTTCTTTTTCTTCTCCTCTGGGTTTGGAGGCAGAGGTTTGGAGCCGTGGTTCAGGGTCCCAGTGTCTTTGCTGCCAGCTCCAATCATAGTGCTGGTGTTTCTCATGGGAGGGGCTGGGGGTTTGTCCTGGATGTCTAAGCCGTTATTTGACATTGTCACCACCACCAGCAGAGGCTACTAGAATCAAAAGAAAGAACATGATAACACTCTTAATATTCATTAATGCAATAATATATAAATATATATTTATTAAATACCTATTTAAAATGTTTTAAATTTCAAATTATACAGCCCTTCTGCTACTAGCCATGAACACTGCTAGCCTATTTAGTCAGCAACCCAGATGTAAGTCCCTACTGTGAGCCAAACACTGCTAAAAATTCACCGAGATTTTGCTTTTCTCTGCATTCTCCTATCTCAGAGCCTATACAAAAAAGAAGTACACTTACACTATAGTTGAAAAGCAGACCTGGACCAGGCAGAAACTCAGTGGGAAATCCAGTAATACTAGATGTAGTGAAATCCCATAGCCTCTTTGGTTCCATTCATTCATCTACATGAAGATTAACTATAAACAGTGGTTCTCAACTTTCCTAATGCTGTAACCCTTTAATACAGTTCTTCATGGTGTGGCGAACCCCCCATCATAAAATTATTTTGTTGCTATTTCATAACTGTAACTTTGCTACTGTTATGACTCGTCATGTAAATATCTGATATGCAAGATATCTGATATGTGACCCACAGGTTGAGAACCACTGAACTAAACGTCCTCCAGTGTTCCAAATATTGAGTTTGCTGACATCTAAGTTTATAACTTTAGACAAGTCACTCCTTCCCTGTATAGATGAGACTATTGCCAACTGTCAGTGAAACTTCTGTCCTTATAGCTAGTTTCACCAGGACCAAACAATATTCCTTCATTTACATAGTACCCATACCCTCTTTCAGGTTACACTGGCAAACACGATCATATGCCCACAAACTTACAGTACTTACACTTCTTGGTCCTTCACAAGAAAGGTACTACACTTGTGCCAGTTCTCCTGGATATCCCTCCTCCAAAATTCTACCTGATTTTAAATATACACTATTCAAGGCAGCAACCATCCTGCTTAATTTACTAGCATTTTCCTATGCTTTTGGAAAACAGAGTAAAATTTAAAAGAGGAAAATCTCCAATGATATGCTAACAAGGGGTTTTAATGAAAACAAGTATTATTAACTTAAAATATGTTCTAGTTCTTGACAATAGATAGATAGATATGAATGTGTCCAGAGTTTATATTGTCTCCTTATTAGTGCAAGTAATGGTAGAAATTGTATCTTTAATCACAACTACTTAGAATATAGTCTCCCTGGAGTAAGATGCAACAGTGCTTTAGAAATTAAAAGCTTCCAAAAAAACTACATAAAAATCACCAGTCACTTTTAGAAATTGATTGTCAGGGCCCAACACCCATAAGCCTTGATTTAGTATGCCTGGGTTAAGACTAGAATTCTGTATTTTGAAAATAAATAGCCTCAATGTCAGCCAGATTTGCATACCACTGCTTTAGAAATCAATTCTTTAAAATGCAATAAATTTGCCATTCTAAAAATTAAAAAGATTAAGACATAGAAAGAACTCTGATAGAATACTGTATTCAATAAAAGTAATGGTTTTCATAAATTTATAAAATTCTGTAATAGTCTTTTTAATATTCTCTAGTAAATGGAAAATCTGATTTCTTCCACCCAGATTTTTTTCCTCAATGGCTTCTCCAGAGGCCATCCAAAGAAATCTACTATTTTGTATTTTAAACTCCTTCACTGACATGTCAGAATAAAAGCTAATGCTCTTTAGCTTCTTCAAGAGGCCTGCTCTTATTTGAGCAGGCCCATTCATCAGTCACACTACCACTCCTTCTAATTCCTCTTACAGTATAGCGATCCCATCTTCTTTAATTTCTTTCAATATGCCATCATTTCCACACCTCTGTCCCTTCAAACGTGATGCTTCATCTGCCTATTTTCCCTATCAAACAGTGAACTCACCCATCCTTGGAGGATTAATTCTGTTATTTCTTCTATGGCACCTTCAGAAAATATTTTGAACTCTAAAAAGTTAGGTCCAAGGCAATGGGTTTATTTCCAGGTTATCATATTTCTTTGTATTGTTATAATTATTTACAGATATATCTTTCCCAGGAGCCATTCTGTCATCTGTGCAGACGAACAGTGCCTTACCTTTTTAACTTATGGTAGATACATATTAATTAATACAGTTTATAGGAAGAGATATGTACTGCCTTGAAAAGAATTTATTAGTACAAATGAAAAGTCTTTATAGTATGACATCAAGTGGTCTTACAAACTAAGGCTATACACAGTCTACATTCAATTTATGCCTCAGAAATCTCTGAACTTGCCAAGCTGGCTTGCTTCCTTCCTTCCTTCCTTCCTTTTGTTCTTTCTTTCAAGTGCTAGGGACATAATTCTGGGCATTATCACCAATCTATACTGCCTGCTAACTCATCAAATATTCTTTTTTGTTTTGTTTTTTGAGACAGGGTCTCACTATGTAGCTCTGGCTGTCCTGGAACTCACTCTGTAAACCAGGCTAACCTCAAACTCACAGAGATCCACCTGCCTCTGCCTCCTGAGTGCTGGGATTAAAGGTGTGCACCACCACACCTGGCCCTCACCAAATATTCTTACACACACTGAAGAGAGAGAGAAAAGGAGCAAGGAACAGGGAGATGTCAGGCTCTGTGTCAATGATTTCTCTCTTGATTAATTAAAATCTTATTTAACTTTTTAAAGTCAAACTCAACTGGATTTTTTTTAATTCATCTTGGCCAACCTTTGGTCCTTTTTGAACAAACAATATCAAAATAAGTAAGGATACTTCTGCTAATCCAAACTGACTATCTGGGTAACTTTTTAAATGTATTTCTTCAATTTTCACTTCCCAGATATGACTGCCTTTGCCTTCTCTTCCAGCTCTAACTCAGGTTCCTCAGCTCTTCCAAGAAAGCATCCAGTGTCATAGTTGGCAATGCCCTCCTACTCCAGGCTGCCAGTTCCAAAATTATACTCCCACAGCTACCTAATACTCAAAACAGGCTCTCCCTGGCCTCCAGACTTTCAACCAGCAGCTTCATTTAATGTAACTCCCATTTAGGCCATAGGCCAGGATTATGCCAGGAAAGCATCACCAACCATCTTGATACATACTTTTCTTCATGTTTAGTCATTTTATCATGTTTAAGAGAATTCTTAGCAGGTAGATTAATCAAAACTCTATTGGAATCTAATGTTTAAAACCTTGTACTGCATGATGCCAGCTTGGGTCATCCTGCCTATACTGGAAACCTTCAGCAGTAGGATATCTATAATCTCAAAAGGCAGCCTAGTCTACCTTTGTTCACTTCATTTAAAGAGTTCTCACATAAGTTCTGTCTCTCTCATTCTGCACTACAATTATTTGTTTGCACACTTGCCTCCCCCTTCATCACCCTCAGCTAGACTTGACACTATGGACCCCTTAAGAACAAAGTTCATATCTTACATATTTTTCAGTCCCTTACTCCATCCCTGGCAAAGAATGGGTAATTAAAAAAGGGATTAGCTTGAACTGTTTAGGAGGCACCCAGGCAGTGAGACCGGGACCTGTGCATGAGCTGGCTGTTTGGAACCTGGGGCTTATGCAGGGACACTTCGCTCAGCCTGGGAGGAGGGAGCTGGACCTGCCTGGACTGAGTCTACCAGGTTGAGCTGAATCCCCAGGGGAGTCTTTGCCCTGGAAGAGATGGGAATGGGGGATGGGATGGGGGGAAAGGGGGTGACGGGAGGGGGGAGGACAGGGGAATCCGTGGCTGATATGTAAAATTAAATTAAATTATAAAATAATAAAAAAGGGATAGTGAACATAAGAGCGAACAAATATAAGATCAAGTAAAATAAACAAGAATAATTATTCCTTTCCACACTTGAACATCATCTTTTAGAGCTATTCAGAAAACCTCCCCCACAGAATTATAAGTATTTGAAATAACCTTTCAAGACATTCAAAACTTTCTTTTCAAAGCTAAACATTCCTAGTACATTTAAACTATATTCATTCACAAAAACTGTGCTTTCTTGACCACTGCCCTCTGAGCTTACTTGGGCTTAGGTTTTGGCAGTACTTTCCAGTTTCCCTGCAGCCCTCCAATCAGCCCTTTCCTACTATTTCTCCAAGAGTCTTATCTGTCTTTATAGCCACTTCCAGCACCTGGGGAAGTGAGGAGGAGATCCCAAGGGAAACCTGCTAACTAGACTAGCCAGGATGGTGAGCTCTAGACTTATGGAGAGACCTCAGTAATAAAGTCGAGAATGACCAAGGAAAAAAACTCAAGGTCAACCTCTGGCTTCCACATGTGCATGTACTTTCATACATGTGTCACCACACATAAGAACATGTATACACACATGCATACACCTGTAATCCCAGCACAGAAACAAGAGAACTGAAGGTCTGAGGTCAGGCTATGTTACATAGCAAGACTCTATCACAAAGAAAGGAAGGGAGGGAGGAGAGAGGGAATATTAATTGAAAATAAAATCTTTTTTTTAAAGAAAAGAAAATAACTAAAATGGGACATAGCAGAACACTGTAGGCCTGCTATGTTCTGTCTCACACATAGGCAGAAAAATGGCCTTTTCTAAGCAGTTTTTAGATCTGGACAGTAAATTCCCCATGTTAAAATAAATTTTTAAAAAACACTGTTGATTAAAGAACAAGGCTATAGAGCAACTACAATAAGAAAAGCGGTGTTCCCTAAAGGAAGAGCCAGCTGTTATCCATCTGCACTGAGAACTCTGGGATGTCTTGTGTTCACAACATGGGACCTGGAGTTTAGGACAGTCCTTTACATTTCCCAAGTGAATTGCTGAAATCCTATGAAAGTGTTTCCCTAGAGAACCAGCTGGTTTAATTACTTTTACATATAATATTTCAGCCATTATTTGGAACAAGTATTTTAATAATCACTAACATCAGATCATACTTCAGAGTTTATAAAATCTTGGAAACCTACTTGCTGGGTATCACTTTTCTCATTCTAGGCTCTGTTAGGTACTGGAAATAGAACATTGAATAAATCCAAAGAAACATAGTTTCAGAGATGTTGCCAGTCACCCCACAATACCAC